AGTAATGCATATCGCTCCCGCAGATCCCCGTCTGGCTGATCTGGATCCTGACATCCCAGGGGTCCTTCAGCTGCGGAACGGGTCTGTCTTCAAAGGCAACGTCTTTGACTGCCCGTAGGACGAACGATGGGTTTGTGTCCTAGTTGCATCATATTTAGTATGGGTGCTTGGGAATGGATTTAGCCTATTGCGCTTATTTGAAGGTGTAGACGGATCTTGCAGAAAAAGACAAAACTGAACGACTGGGATAGTTGCGATGAGACTCACCGGCATGGTATGGTATGTATGTATTTGACTCTGGAGAGAACTCTAAAGAGAACAGATGAAAAAGATCGACACAATTTGAGGTAGCTTGATATTCGACAACAGCTGCAGTTACTCGAAAGAGGAGACGGCTATTATGGAAGACAGCAAGAGCGGGAAGATTCCCTGAATTTATTCAATCAAAGAGAATACTTCCCTCGCATGAACAAAAGAAAGGAAAGAAAAAAGACAGAAGAACACAACCTCCAAACAGGTATTTGACAGATGTGTACATGACCTAGCTAGCTCGCTACCCCACCATGCACGAGCCAGTGGACAGGAGACAGATGGCAGAGCGGAAAGCGTTCGGCTCACGAGCTCCGTCCATGATTACATTGCATGCAGACATGAACCAAACTAGTAGGTCAGAAGAAAGAACGTAGAGCAGTAATCTCTTTCCATTAGGCATGTACTGTCGAGGTCTCATCGGCCCAAAGCCCGATAGGGGAGGTCTTCGGACAACATGTTCCTGACTGCGGGGTTTACGGGGTACGTTGGCCGATGCCCGCGCGGAGGCAGTCGTCCGGTCCTGTCGAGAGTCTAGAACCCCTTGTGCTGGTGGTCTGAAGAAATCAGAAATTTATCCTAGTACTTAGTATCTTGAAGTATCTTGGCTGTGAGGAGCCTAGAGTAATGCTGGATGCTATATTGGACGGTTGCGCATTGGATTATAGAAGCTCGCTGCCATCACATAGATTCAACGTATATATATTCTCATAATTAGTAGATTTAGGTATCTACCCTCTTGGCTTCAACCTGCACTAAGTTTTGCGTTTGTTGAACTGTTGTATATATTTAAGAAATATAAACCTAACTAGAGCAAGCATTCCCGAGTCATCACCAATGGTTTGGCCACTCGAAGAAGTAGCTCTCGTCATATTTTAACCTAAGACAGGGGCCTGTAGTAAAGTGTAAAACCATTTATGAGTACATATGCATTTTTTGAGGATGATTCTGTGGTAAACTTGTACAAGCGCTCTATAAACATATTGAGGCTTTGAAGCCTCGCGGTATATTATCTCCACCATTCTATTATTTAATAAAGCTGCGAAAATAGAAAGTTATGTGTATCTGGGACCATCCATCCACCGGATTACCTGCAAGTATAACCCCCGTCGACAACAATATCCGCACCTGTCGTGTAGGTGCTGGCGTCACTCGCCAGATAGAGATAGACGCCCTTCAGCTCCCGCGGATCCGCGTCCCGTCTCATCGGCGTCAGAGAGTACCACTCCTCCTTCATTTCAGGCGGACAGTCGCCGCTGATGGGCGTGTCGATGTAGCCTGGGCTGACTACGTTGACCCGAGCAAAGCCCGCCCACTCGACCGCCAGTGATTTGGCGAGGTGGATGACGCCCGCCTTGCAGGCATTGTAACAAGCCTGACAACTGTCAGCGTTTACTCAGTCCAAAAGTGAGAGTCTGGAGATTCTCACCTGCTGCTGCGGCACATTGGCCACGTGCCCAGACATAGAAGCCGTGAAGATGAGATTTCCTGATCCCTGCTTCCGGAAAATTTCTCCCGCAACACGCGCGCAGTAATACGCGCCAGAAAAATCGACATCCACCACCTTGTGCCAGTTCTCCAGCTTGTCGTCCAACCCGCCAGCCTTAGACGGGATGCCCGCATTCGCAATCATGACGTCCAGACGGCCAAAGTCTTTGAGGACCGCGTCCGTTGTGGCTTGGACCTGGTGATTCGTTAACCTGAATTAGCCAGAAACAAATAGACCGGCACGAGACTAACGAACCTCGTCGAAGTTCTGCACCGCGCATTTGTACGCCTTGCACCGCACGCCGAAATCCTTGGCTATCGTCGCTGCAAGACTGTCCGCCTGCGTCGAGGTGTTGTACCAGAGGGCGATATCCGCGCCAGCTTCTGCGAGGCCACGTCCGACCTGGTAGCCAATGCCCCCCGATCCGCCGGTAATGATGACCACTTTGCCGTGCATGTCGAACATCTTGAACACGCTATCTGGGAGTGTGGGATTTGGCCAGCGGATGCTTTTCTGCGAGACCATCTTGGCTGAGTGATGTGTTTCTGATGAGAAGAGAGGGCTGAATGTGCTTTCAGTGGCAGGTATCAAGACAACGAGAAAGGTGTAAGCAGGTCAGCACTGCAACGAAGTCAGAGCGGGTGATTTAATAGACGGCAAATCCAAGGACCATCTGTAGAACCTTGGATTTAGTCTTAGAAAGGCCATGATACATGAGAGAAGCTTCTGGGTTTTGAATGCCCCACGGAGAGGGACACACCCGCTGCGGCAAGGCATGGCCGTGACGGTCTCGCAAACATTTCAAGACGGTGCTAAAGCTGACAGCAGACACTGTATCTCACCAGAACGCTATGAGACCGTCTGCGGACATGCAGTCCGCAGTTGAGATGTCCACGGAGCCGGTCGTCCGCCGCGGACGATAGACGCCCGCCCCCGCCCCACGGGGTTACCCCAGATTCTGGACTAGAGCAGACGCCGTCAAACTCTAATCTGCCGAAGTATAGACTCCTCGGAACGTCGACCTGTCATATTCCCTTAACGATCGCTTTTCTCCCGTCCTGGACAAGCTTGTTCTGGGGAAGATATTCCACCCGCCACGAAACCATGGGGACGTTGTCGGTGGGGATTGCACCGGCGCAGTACGACTCGGATGGAATTCGTCGCCTCGTCTAGGGCTATATAGAGGCACTCTGGGTGCATGTATCATCCATGATTGACTGCAGCAAGAGTGGAGTTATCCTAGTTGCTGTATCTATAGCTGCAGTATTCATCCTGTCCATTGTCAATTGCTTCACGCGATGAAGGATCAGGATATCGTGGGCAAGGCGCTTGCCTCTGTCTTGCCCAATTATGACCGCTTCTGGTTCCAAGTCCCTCATCTCCTGGAGCTGAACTTGATTCTGTTGGTGCCGCTGCTATCTTCTGCTGTGGCTGGTTATGATGGTTCGTGTGTCTCTAGTTTGCACAATTGCAGAAACTAATGATCGGAGTGCAGGCTCCATGATGAACGGACTACAGTCTCTGCCGAAGTGGAAGGACTACTTTGGCAATCCCACAGGCTCTGTGCTGGGCGTGGTAAACGCCGCACAGTCGTTCGGCAGCGTGATCTCTCTCCCCTTCATCGGTCTCCTGTCCGACTGGATCGGGCGGAAACGGACCCTGCTATCAGGGGCGTTGGTGATCGTCATTGCTTCCATCATCCAGGCCGCGTCCGTCCACTATGGCATGTTTGTCTTCGCGCGCGTCCTCGTCGGAATCGGGTCGATGCTGGTCGTCCAGCCGTCGCCGATGCTGATCACCGAGCTGGCGTATCCTACACATCGAGGAAAGTACACGAGGTGAGTAACCACCACCACCACTGACATCGTGCGGTCCTGCTGAGCTTAATAAAATTCGACAGCGCCTTCTGGACGATGTACTACCTCGGAGCAATCGTCGCCTCGTGGTCCACGTTCGGGACTCAGAAGCACATGTCGTCAGATTGGTCCTGGAGGGTCCCTTCGATCGTCCAGGCGGGGTTTCCAATTGTCCAGATCGTCTTTTGGTGGTTCGTGCCCGAGTCGCCCAGGTATGACGCTTCATCAGCTCTGAATCTGCCCTTGAACTTGTTGATCAATGGAGATATGCTGATGCTTTACAGATGGCTCATCGCCAACGGCCGATCCGACGAAGCGGAAAAGACGCTGGCACGCTACCACACTGGCGGCGACACCTCACACCCACTGATTCGATTTGAAATGGCAGAAATTGCCCACGCAATCGAAATGGAGAAGCAAGCGTCCAAGACGCGCTATTCAGCATTGATAGAGACCCCGGGAAACCGCAAGAGGACGTTTATCGCCGTCTGCGTGGGGTCATTTGCGCAGTGGAATGTACGTTCTCTGAACAAACGAGAATATAGCCGGAAATTACTAAATGACTGGAATAGGGTGTCGCTGTCGTGTCATACTATCTCACCCTCGTTCTCGACACCGTCGGCGTCACGGATCCCGACACTCAGACCCTGATCAACGGCCTGCTGCAGATCTTCAACTTCGCCGCCGCGGCCAGCGCGGCCTTGCTGGTGGACCGCCTCGGCCGCCGCACGCTGTTTCTCTGGTCCGGGGTCGGCATGCTCATCTCCTTCATCATCTGGACGGCCTGCTCCGCGGTTTTTGACAGCACGAAAGCCACCGCCCTGGGCCGCACCGTCATCGCCTTTGTCTTCCTCTTCTACTTCCACTACGATATAGCCTACACCCCGCTCTTGCTGGGCTATCCGACGGAAATCTTCCCCTACTCGCTGCGCAGCAAGGGCCTGACGGTGGAGCTGCTCTCGGTGTATGGGTCGCTCATCATCCTGGCCTTTGTGAACCCTATCGCGCTCGACAATATCGGGTGGCACTACTATATCTTCTTCTGCTGCTTCGACGTCTTCGCCCTTGCTATCACTTGGTTCTTCTTCCCTGAGACAAAGGGCCACTCCCTCGAGGAGATTGCAGAGGTCTTTGACGGGCCGATGGCCGCGACGCATGGTGCTGTGTGGGATTCGTCGCAGAAGGACGACACGGTAGCGACTAGAGAGCATGAGGAGGATGTCCGAGGGAGATGAACATGAAGGGTTGTGGACGTTGCCATCTAGTGTATAAATGTACATACCATCTGCAGCTAGCTTCTGTGCAGAAAATGTTGACAGGATATCTGTGAAATTCTATCCGCGTGTAATTTAGAGAGTGTCAGTAAGACATTGCTAATTGTAACAATATCGCTTGCACAGGAAACAGTATCTTTTTTGTAACAATTTCAGCCCGGAAATCCATATGAATTGTGAAATGAAAAAGACGCCGTTAACAGATGAGAAATTGTTCCGATTCTTCCTGAGACTTCGGACTTTGCCAGCTCAAATATGACTTTATATACCTCTATCTATCTAAGTAATCCCTATTCACCCTCTATCAAAAGAAAAACACGAGTGAATAAAAAAGAACCAACAGATCGAATCAACTAAACTATCCGCCTATCTCTTCCTGCAAACTCGTCACAACCAGATCGATACCAGCCACCTTCTTCTCATTCACCAGCCGTCCATTGATCAGATCATTCCCGTCCACCCGCCGATACGCATCCTCGATCGTGGACTCGATCCCCGCCTGCAGATGCCTCTGCGCGACGCGCTCTCGTGTCAAGGCAGGATCTGCCTCCACAAACACGCGCAGGTCCACCAGCTGACCGATCTCGTCCCACGGCGGTTCGTCCAGAAGAAGGTAGTTGCCCTCGAGAAGGAGGATGATGCGCATCGCGCCGGATGACGGGATCGGCAGGGCGTCCGGGACGGGGTCCTTGAGTGCGTGCGAGAAGGTCGGTGCGTATATGATCGGTTCAGTGGTATTGTTTCCACCGTCTTCATGGTTGTTAGCCCACTTGCGCAGACACCAGACAAATTCAACAGCCTTGTCGGCGTCAAACGTCCAAGGCGCGCCGCGGCGACGGTAGGCTTCCTTGTTGGGAAGGGTGTGGAGGGTGGAGCGCGGAAGGTGGAATCCGTCCATGGAAATGCTGATGCATACCGTCGGCGAGGGGGATGAAGATTGTGATACGGGTTTGTCAGAGGAGAGATTGTGTTTATGTGGACCGTCGGATGGCGCAGCGTCGTTGTTGTTGATTCTCTTTGCGACTTCGTGCGCGATGGTCGTTTTTCCTGACCCCGGGGCACCGGCGATGGCAACGAGATATCGCTGCCGCGGGCATTCTGCTGCTCGATGTCGGATTGTTTTGGCAAGTGATTGATAGGTTGATTGCATTTGGCTTTGCCGTTGTGTTTAGCTTATGCTAGGCCAGTTACGATGAATCTATCAATCCAGTAAGGTAATCGATATATGGTGAATAGCAAGTGGAAAGAATAATACACACATAGCTCCCGTTCTAGGGCTGGGGAGATACTGTGCCCTAGGTAATATGTACTGTACACAGGTCGGAGAGCATAGTCCGCCAGAAGGCACAGAACTGATAGCAGGAGTGGATACCTGCATATCCTCAGCATCTCGACAGGATATCAACTGTCTCTCTTTTGTTTGTCTCTTTCGACCTCAGACATGGCCTTCTCAACAAAGGTCTCAGGACCGATCACATGATAGTGAGCGGACGGAGATGTCCGTCCGCGCGGACGCCCTACTCCGCTCGTTACGAGTGGGGGATGTGGGAGTATGGAGTGGCGCAGAAAGCGAGGTGCAGCTCGTGATATTTTCACGTGGTATATTTTTCTTTTCTAAAGACTCTTTTTATTTTAAATGTAACTCCTCGTTCCATCCACCATAGGTACCGTACAATAGCAGAATACATATTGTATTGCTGACAAGACTGCTGCTCATCACTCTGCCAGAATGGTTCTCTCTCAGCCCGAAAACAAGCATGTTATGAAAGCCTTCGATCTGACCGGCAAGGTCGCAGCTGTAACAGGTAGAGTACATGATTGATTCCAGTTTGAGATGACATTTGTCTTACGACTATCTCAGGAGGGGCTCGCGGTATCGGTCTTGAGGTCTCCAGAGGGCTTGCAGAAGCTGGTGCGAGTGTAAGGAGAGTGTTAAAAGGCTAGAAGAATACAGCTTAACTGAATAATAACAGGTTGCAATCATCTACAGCTCGTCCAGGAATGCCGACACCATTGCAGCCGAAATTGCAGCTGCCAACAACGTCAAGACAGCTGCATACAAGGCAGACGTCAGCAACCAGCAAGAGATTGAGAGCACAATTCAGCAGATAGCAAAGGACTTTGGAAAGCTGGACATAATCGTTGCGAATTCCGGAATCGCAAGCACGCATCCTGCTGAAGACTACACCGTGGAGGAGTGGAGAGAAATCCTGAAAGTGAATCTAGATGGAGCTTTCTACACAGCGCAGGCGGCGGCAAGGATCTTCAAGACGCAAGGGTATGGAAACATCATCTTCACAGCTTCCGTCAGTGCAAGGCTGGTGAATGTTCCCCAGAAACAAGTTGCGGTACGTCATATCAGTGAGCTTACCACATATCGATGGACCGACCCTGCTGACCTTTCAAAGTACAATGCCTCGAAAGCTGGTCTTGTCCAGCTGGCGAAGTGCTTGGCAGTAGAATGGGTCGACTTTTGTCGCGTCAATTGCATTTCGCCTGGTTTTATTGCAACAGAAATCTTGGATATCCATCCCAAGGAGTGGAGAGAAAAGTGGCTCGACATGGTTCCCGCGCGTCGGATGGCTGCTACTTACGAGCTAAAGGGGGTGAGTCTGTCCTGTCATGCCATGGTAGCGTCAGGCCCGTTCTGACTTCTGTTGTCATAGGCGTATGTGTTCTGTGCTTCTGACGCGTCAAGCTACATGACCGGCGCCGATATAGTCATTGATGGTGGATATACGCTTCCGTAAACAGAGATTGAGCGGAATGACAGAGATTGTTGGTATAGTTTGACAATGACATGGTCCTTCACTCTGCTCTATTAGAAGTAGCTCGAACTTGTGACTTGGACAGATATTCTTCGATAGACGATGCATATCCACAACAGGCTTTGTTGTCTGCAGGACTAATAGAGACGGTTTTCGTCAGATATTGTATTATTCAAACCCGGCAATTGGTTCATGAAATCAATGATTGTCGATTCTTGCCTGGAAGAATGTCAGTTAAGTAGTCTCGATCAAGAACCAAAAGACTTACAGCATCGGATCGACACCATCAACTTGTACCGACCCCAACGTAGGCCACATCAGCGGGTACAAATTAGCAAGTTGCGTCTGGGGTGACTCCTGCGTTGGACCATCCCACGCATCAGTGTCAGGCGCGAGATATGCTCCGCATAATGACCTGATAACGCCCAGACAACGTTTAGCTGTAGGATTTAACTGCGCCATCGACTCTATCACAGTCATAGCTTCGAATATCTGATCACGCCAGTTGAGAGCGAGTGGAGACTGAGGATTGTTGCGGAGGCAGATCACCGGGATGAGGATCGCCTGGAAGAGGAAATACAGGCCGTACCAACAGGCCATCATTGTCCTCTGATCCTGCATCCAGAATTTGGAGATGAGCTCAACAGACTCACGGGCGGCATCAAGGCATCGCTGAATCGCGATCTCGACATTGGGGTCATCCTGGTCTTGTGCATTCTCCGCCCCTCGTTCTGGTCTCGCCATCAGTTGTCGAACCAGGAATGGCCGGTACATCAAGATACGAAAGTTGCGATATCGCCAGCGCAGGATGGAGTGACAAAGTGAGAATTTGGGGGCTTGCTCCACGTCTTCCCGAAAGTAAGTCGGTAACGTCGCCAGCCAGTGACCAATAAGCCTATCATCCAAATCGATCAACTCTTCTGCGGAAGGAAAAGGTGTGGATATAATCTTCGAGTATATCTGGCAAGTCGACAAATGAAAGGTCGCCTGCGCACGCAAGTGTGTGTAGACTGTCGTTTCATTCGCGGGCTCTGGCCGATGCTTTGTCGTCGCCGTGACATCCTGCTTTGATAAGCACACTGCCATAAATAGGAGGAAAGGTGTCCTTACACTGTCGTGAATGTTAAGCGGCAGTTCGACATCAATGCCATCTTGGGGAAAGTCCAACGGCCGCGAAAACGTAATTGTTGCGCCGACGTCAAAGATATATAGACAATACCAAACCCTCCTTCTCATCTCTAGTGCCAGTAAGTTAGCGTCCCAGTTTGGAAACTCCTTGTGGAGTCCTATTCCCATTGCAATCCGTCTAGCTAGGCCCATATAGTTGTAGCCAGAATTAGGCTTGTTTCTCTTTTGCAAATAGTTGGAAAGCAATGTCAGTGCCTGCACGAGGATCATGTTGCCTGTCTCAAGCATGTCTATGGACAATCTCGCCTTTGCTGCCTCAAACAGCCCGATATCTACATCTGTCGGTTGTGTGGCAGCAGTGAAAGCGCCCAACGTTGCCACGGCAAACAGCAAGACTTGCCATGCGTTGCTCGATGGTCGTGGGATCACTTCCATGAATTGGGCTCGGAATGTGGCCTCATGGACAATCGGATAAGAGCAGTGATATAAGCGAAAGTAGGCGTCGATGAACGGCTCAAGCTGAGAAAAGGATTTGAGTGCGAACGGAATACTCGACGACCGGGGTGGAGCTGAATTCTCAGCATCTCGGTCGGAACCGTATGGGTCAATCCCGTTGTTTGAGCGAGTTTCTGCCATGCGCAACAAAGCTGCTCCTGACGCAACACCGAGATAACCCCCTTCGTTCAATCCACTTGTCAGGCTAGCCATCCCGTCCACGAATTTGTCACCGCTTGGCTTCCCAGACCGCTCATCCCATTCAAAATTGCCGGATGAAGGCGGCATCTCCATTGAAAATGTGGATCCACCTGTCAACTGCGACCTCGTGCCTACACTTTGAGTATCTCGAGATCGCTGCGGGAAGAATGGACGTGACTGTGTGGCTGCCGGTGTCCTCCCGTTCTCGACTTGCGTCGCTCTGTGGCTTGCCATGGAAGGTACTGGGGCTGCTTCATGAGTGCTTCCAATTGACACTGCAGATGGGAAACTTGATGGCCGATCATCACCAGTCTGACCATTCTCAGAGCCCGCATTGCCCACCCTGTCGATGGAGCTGGAGGAGTTGGCTCTGCGGCTTGATGCCGGGGAGCTGAAAGAATGCTCATTTAGCTGATCATAGCCCGCCTCGTTACTCCGATCAGCAGGCATATCCACTGGCACTGCTCTTGCTTCTGGTAGAAATTGCTGGAGTAGCTCCTTTGTTCGAGCCAACTCCTGTTCGACCTGCGTTAGGTACCTCCTTGTGAGAGGCGTCTTGTATTGCTTTTCGTATACACATCTTCTGTTAAACTTTCTACAAAGAGCACAGGTGGGTATCATTCTATTGCACTTGCAGCAGCAGACGGTAACGTCAGCAGAGCCTGTAGCGAAGATGTGAGTGCAGGTCTACCTTTGACTTTCTCCTCCGGCATTCCTTGCAGGCCTGGCCCGCAGTAGAAGATTCGCTGCTCTCTGGCCTTGCAGTCTCAGGTCGTCCATTGTTCGCGTCTGGTAACGAACCCGAGCCCGGACTCGCCATCATCCCCAGTCCTGCAAGTTCACGACTGTCGCACGCCACTTGCATGCATATCTAAGCCGCACATATATGCGCTGCAAGAGTTATGAAAAAATTGCCGCAAACAACTGCTAACTTGAATTGAGACAGCAAGCATCGAAGACTCGACGTCTTCACGGATCAAGGTACGCGAACGCGCCCGCTCTACCGGTTCCTTGGCCGAGTCGGCCGACCACGTGCCAACCCCAGATTCCCAGAAGAAAAGGGAAAGGCGTTTCTGCCCCGCGGTCACGAGAATGTTGACTCTGCAGTTTACTACATGCCTTGATCCTCCATTAAGCCATTTATGTGGAGCTTAGAATGCATGTAATCCCTCAATGGCAGCCGAGCCTTTAAATATATATGGCACGTTTAAGTGGAGCATTGAGACAGCTGCATATAGTAAGAATTCCCGTGCTTCTATCCAGTCAGCTGATTCAGTGGAAGAAGGTGAAGCCTACCTAGGTAAAATCGAGTGACCTCAGGGGCGGGGTGTGGTCGAGGTAGGCGAGCCCTAAGCCCTAAGTGTATACCAGTCTTGGAAGCCGACTACCTATGGGCCCCAACAATCTCTAATCTTAGGGGAAAAGCTGAGACAAATCGTCCTTCAGATGACTGAGTGAGCCTTGGATTGTTGTAATAGTAAAATCCATTGCGCCTGTTGCTAGAACGAACTGCCCAGATGTATGGATATGTATGTACGAGATACGTTCGGCGTCCTTAGCTAAGGCCTATCTTGATTCCCCATCCAACCCGGACCTGGTACCTTTTCTAACTCACTGCAGTACAGTACAAATAATCTCAAACATGTGACCTAATCCAGAAATTATTAGGATTCTTGCCAGGAAAGAGTGCACATAGGGGACTAGGAAAGAAACATACTTTCAGATGGTTGCCTGGACAAGCCACAGTTTGCACTGCCACAGACAAGATTGGTTCCCTGCTAGCAAGGTTGTATCCATCCATGGATACAGAACTTGCCAAATGCCGATAATACTGACAACTTACCTACTCCGTCCATAGGGGCCGTGTTATCCATGATCTATTTGCTACGTCACGAAGAGGCTGTGACTTTCTCTTGCTGGTTAACAATAAAAATTTTTTTTCGTCCCTCAGCTATGCACGGACCTCATGCGATGAGATGTGCAGTACTACCTGCCCTAGCTAGTGAATGACTATGGATTCGATGAATTGAATGTAGTCCGATCCATTCACGAAGAGGTTGGGCTCTATGAAGCCTACCTTACTGTATGCGGATACTGGACTTCTCGCACATCATAATTTTTCCGACTTGCGGCCATGTTCTCCAAGCCTGAAGCTTCCTCGAGCGCTCGGAACAAAGCACTATCAGAAATGTGGCCGGCATCTGCAGAGAGGGTGTCAAAGTTAAGCACAGGGGAAACGGATAAGAGATTGGTACGATACTCCCTGGGCCGAACTGCCGGGACCAGGAAACCACATCCCGTAGTTTTGCGACCAGTATATACCGTCCCTCCTCTGTACCATGGTAGGATGTAGTAGTGAGGGTTCGTACTACTAACCTTATCTGAATTCGTACTTCTTTTTTAATACTCCCTCCTATCATCCCCTGTACGAAGGCCGATCTCACAGTGCTTTCTGCTACTGACTTGACGTCTGCATAACGTATTTGTCATTGCCATTCGATCTTCAGATCTAGTTTGCGTTACACCGACAGTATTAAGGTTCATGGACAAGTCACAAAGGCGCCAGCATTGGCCCCATTATTTTTTTTTGCCCACCGCGTAGGGCGATGATCAGCGCCTCAGCTGATTCCGATCGGAGCTCCAAGACCAGATCTGTGGCTGGTGGACTGGGGCGGGCTCCATTGGCGGCATCTCATTTGGTGGAGTGCAGAGGCCGATCTGCATGAAGTGGCGCAGGCTCATATTTTCACCACGCTTAGCGTCATTTCGATCGTGCTAGTCCATCAGTAGTCACACCGCAAAGTGAACACAAGTCACAATTCCTCGCCCACCTGTCTGCTCCAGTGTCTTCAAAAGAGACCTAAATCGAAAAGATAACAGAGAACCCATGGCAACGGATTTCCGAAACCCCACAGGGTACTCCACCCACATTGCTATTCGTCCAGTTCATTCAGCCTCCGATATGCTACACCCACCAATTAGGGACGGAGCATAAGCCTCGGTAGGCTGGAATGCTAGATAGTATGCGGTGCGGGAGGACCCCGATCGCTCGGGTCTATTCAGCGGATCGACAATGTCCAATACTCTGTGGCATCACAAGTAAACTCGTCCTAAACTCGTCCGACTGCGATAGCCTCGATCAACTCTTCCGCACGCCGTGCAATTGTGTACTCGCATTGGTCCAAGAGAAGCCTCTTCGTCATCTGATGTGCTCGCAGGTGCTACACAGAGCACAGTCTGAAGAACTGTCGAACAAATATTCATGTCTGGTCCTTCCGGGCAGCCCTCTAAGCTTTCCCCGCAGCCAGCTATACTGTACGCTGATGTGGTTCGAGTGGACTCGTGGCAAGTTTAGTCGAGTAGACAATTATCCAATGCCCACAGATCGCAGCGAAAATCACGCTGGACGCAAAGTCAATTCTAGTGGACTGCCCTCGCAACCTTGCAGGCGGCTAGTGGCGAGTGTACCTGTGCTGGTTCCTTGGACAACAGCCTCAGAGCCTGATATTCATCGCTCCTATGACGAAGGGGAGTGGGTCTCTGGGGAGAAGAGCCATGCGAACTGATAGCAGGGAGATGCAGCTTTTGCAGCTGTCAGTCAGTCAGTTTCTGTCAGAATCCGGAAGGAGAAGGAGAGAGGAACAGGCGAACGACCCACGGATGGCACTATGTGGTGCGGCTGGCATGCGCTGCTTGGTCCAGGCAGGTGCCGAAAGCAGCCAGCCCACGAGTAATCGGGAGAAAAGCAGGAAGGCAGGCCGGAGAAATTCATGCTGGAGACAGTGTCCCGTCCCCTGGGTCTTTCCTGCCCAGGAAAGCTCGTGGGCGTGCCGTCCCTCCACCCGGCTCCGTATATAGTTCCAGCCGCGTCCCTCGACCGCTCCTCTACCTCTCTCTTCCCTCTCCATCCTCTCATACCCCCGTATCAACATCGCGACAGCGTCAGTTGTTCGTATCTGCATCATCTCCGATTCTCATCTTACTTCGATACCACATCCATCTTCTCGGCACCAGCACCATGAAGTTCATTGCTCCTCTCTCCGTCGCCCTCTTCGCGACGGCAGCTGTTGCTGCTGAGTCCCAGTCGGACGACCAGGAAATTTCTCAGTGTGCGGTAAGAAATCTTTGCTGCAGCTGTCTTGAAGCGTCTATGGCTGACCAAGCTCAATGCATGTAGCAAATGTGTTTGAACAACATGCTGGGTCTCGCAGGCTCTCTGGGCTGCCAGGAGAACGACCTGGGATGCTTGTGCAGCAACAAGGACTTTGGATACGGCATCCACGACTGCACGGTGGAGGCTTGCCCCAATGAGAACGTTGCCGCGGTTGAGTCATATGCTGAATCCTTGTGTGCCTCTGCTGGTATGTCCATCCCCCTTACATCTGATGTATGGGAAAGAAATTAACTGGGTGCTGCTCCAACAGCTGCGGCAGCTTCTGGATCTGCTACTCGCTCGGGTACCGAGCCTTCAGGTACGCCTACTCCTACTGCTAGTGGTGAATCCTCGCCGATAGGTTCAGGTACAGCCACTGGCACTTCTGGGTCTGGCAGCGAGACCGAGACTGCGACTTCGGTAAGTGTCTCTCGTCCGCTGTTCTATGGCCCATCTCACCTAACAGCAACGACAGGGAACTAGTGCCACCAACATTGGTGGTGCCTCCACCCCTATTACCACTGAGCCCATCGTGACGACTATCACTTCCGGAACCTCCACCTTGAAGAGTACGATTGGCAGCACCACTTTGTACACTCGCACCAGCACTGGCTCCAGCAACACCTCTGGTGCTACCACTTCCACCGAGTCCGCGTCTCGATCTACTACCACCGGTGGAGCCACTACCACCAAGAGTGGTGCAAACAGCTTTGTGGGTGCTACTCCTAGCCCGTCCAAGGTCGTTTCCAGCTCTTCGGCTGCTGGTGCCCACCCGATGGCCACTGTGGGCAGTGGAGCGGCTGGCGCCCTGGGTTTGGCCGCTCTTATGATGCTGTGAGGCAGTGACTTGTGTCTTGTCTTATTTTTCTTCCGTCTTGATTAAGCTCATGAACTATTAATGTGGCGATGACGTTAGTGTTTGATGGTCATGGTATGATTAATGTTTCTAATACCACGTGATATGTCTTGGTCATTCCCTTTTGTGGAATTTGGTGTGGTGAAGGAACGGGATACGTTCGTTAGTAGGGGTAGTTGGTACTCTGTATGTAATATGAGGAAGTGATACGTTTCGTGGAGACTACTCGCAGATTGCGGTTCAGATTGCGGTTCCTCTTCTTGCACACTCCTACCAAATGTCAACCACCAATGCGTAATCCTACTCTAGGATACTTCACTTCGCAGGTTCAGTAGTGGTGCTGTCATGCATGCTCGCGGAGGAGCTCCTACAATATCAGGCAAGGTCAGCCAGGCTGGAGCCGTGTATTGTAGGTGAAGGGGCCTTAGAGAGTGATAAGGAGAATGGCAAGGCTCCGGGCACGCTCAAATAGAAGAAAGTAGTTGATACAGTGATGGAACGCTGCCAACGGAAAAAGGACAAGCATCGCTTTGATGGCAGGGGCAACTTTAGTATAGGCCAGTCTAGTATGATGGCTTTCTCAAGATCTTTCATCTCTCCTGTTCATTTGTACGAGTGTTCGAGCTTTATTGCTAGATTATTCAAATATGTTGCTCAATCAGGAGAATTGTCTAGCGTCAATTTGATAGCCTGCTGGGTGGGTTATTTGAATAGCCAATGTTAAGGTTCGGCATCTAGCCCTCGCCCGTTCGTTCGTATCGCTTTGAAAGCATCAAACCCAGGCCATTCAAACGAGTCGTCAGAGATAGATGACCATCTGGCGTCACATATGTGGCTCACAGAGCAGCGTTCTCGACAGCGTCATCTATATCGGTCTTATATCCGGTGCTTTGATATATCTCTCATAGGACTTTCTTGCCAGGGCACATAGAATGTCAGGGAGGAGATCTTTCCTCTCTTCTTCAAATGTCGGGATTCTGATCTCGCGAAGTCGGTCATATCTATGCCCCTAAACTAAAGCACTAGGCGGGAACATATCCCATCGCTTGGATGCAGGGTATTGCCGCTTGGCGAAGCTCGTCTATCGAAAGTTGAAAAATGTCGTTAGCATTACGGTTTGGAAAGATCGCGGTGCCAAAGAGCTGGCCCCGTGAGACCGGAATTCTCTGTGGCGCGGCGGCTGCTGGTCGAGGAAAGATGGACTTTTTTCGGGTTAGTTTCTAGGCTTATATATACCATCAAGCAGGTTACTATAACAAGTTACTTACCTCGTTCTGAATCAACGTTGGTATTCCCGCTGCGTTTCTTTCGAAAACATCCACGACGCCCCTCACACGCTTAGGGTTGCCAACTAGCTTGTACCATCGAAGAAGAATGACAAGTCGGACAACAGGCGCTCCACCCGTCAACCATACCTTCATGTCGTTGTGCAGATGGGGCCAAGATTCGGACCATCCACTTTCGATGGCTATCGTTGGCTTTGCCTGCGTGTCGGGGCGGAGGCAAAGATCTGGTTCCATGGACGAGAGTGAATATGGCCCTTGATAAAAGCCTTCGAAGGCTGTCTAAAATTAGCCAAAGTGAGGACTCTTAAGAGCATTAACCCACTGGTCCCGACTCTGGTTCGCAGAACCCTCTTCTCCGCCGCCGTGAGGAAACTCTGTGCCAGCATGTTGTCAAACTCCATTCCGATCCAGTCTTGATGACAATCATGCACTTCGGTGGGCATGATGCGGACACGAAAGACTCTCGACTCGGAGTTGTAGTTTATTCTAAGAGAACAGCATTATTGGACTTTCTTGTTAGGACCAGAGTCAGGACTCAGGACTCACTCACTAACCGCGGGCGAGCTCTCTCCACTTCTCCGTCTTCGTTGAGTGTGTTTGCAAGGAGAATACCATCGTCTGGGTCGATGTCTTCGTAAACTAATTCTTGGCTCTCGGTGGCATGCACAATGGCGCTCTTGATGCGGTAGAAAAGCTGTTAAAGCCTTTCGGTGTTGCTCCTCAACTGACGCGTCGACTGGTCTGACATCTTGAGGAAGTAGACGCCAGGATCGGGTTAAGAAAATGTGTGCTATGTTATTTGGAAGGCAGGATGGTCAAATGAACTCTGAAGTGAATTGTCAAGTGAATTCTAGGGAAGGGATGAGAAGTCAAGAGAAGTCGAAGGAGGTCGAAGGAAGTCAAAGAAGTGACCGAGGGTCTCAGTTTGTATGCTAGGCTCCAGCCGCTAGCCCTCGTTTTGAGCTCGGGACCTGGAGATAGATATAGTGGTGTCTGCTGACGTTTATCCTTGCTTGAGCCCCTGCAGCATCCACGCGGCTACTGAAGCTTTTGAAACGACAACTTTGGGAGTTCAAGATTAAAAATAGGGTGTATGATGGTAGTGGTAGGTGTATTCGCGATATTCAGCACCAAGACTCTTAAATATATGCAGGAATAAAGTTTAGGCATCCAGAGTCCCTATCTATAATGACAAAATATTAAATGTCTCCTATGTCAGTGTCTTGCTTTCAGACTTCACGACATGCTACTATATATACCTAGATATCTGTATAATTAGAATAATGTTGATAGGCGTGTTGCTACTTCTGATCACAGGCCATACCTTTCTTCTTCAGGAAGCTCGTGCACTGGACCTCAAACGCACGCCAGAAGAACCATTCTCTTGCAAAGGGACTTCCGTCGCTCAGGGTTGGAGAAATTCCGCCAGTAGGCCAATCTGCTCTATGAAGGATGCAACCAAGCGGACAGATTTGGTGCCAGATGGAGCAGACTACGGCCCCTCACGGCTTGTCCAGATTCCGGCATGCCTCGCAAGTGAGATGATTGTTTGGTAGGAGTCTGTATTTAATCTTCTATTAAACTAAACTGTGGGGAGCCCTGAGGAAAATCTAGCTTTTATAAATTTACCAAGTGGAAGAGAGATACACCCGTCGCGGCCAAAAAAAACTTCTCAATGCTTGCAGAAATTTCAATTTCACATTTGGAATGAGGCAGCAGCTACCTAGGACACAAGAGATTGAATGCAGGTCTGTACTGGTCGAGAATAAAATCAGAGGCAACTAGCGGTAGCCCTCTTCTTACTCCGTATACCGGGTATGTGGCGTCGGCTCATCTTACTTCGACCAAGAGTCTATTATTGAGCGCCTGGAACGCCTCGAAAAATACCTTCTTATTTGTCAAGTCTGGATCTTAATTTACGGAAAACTGCTGAGCATGCAGGCTGCATGGCAACCAACCAGTGCAGGGAATACGTTCCTTAAATCTCTACACAGCCATTAAATATTGCACCCATCAGCTGCCGCTATCATTAGGGAAGCTATTATTATTCCAAATACAGCACCTTCAAATGGAGATACCTATTCAGGAATGGGCCTGGCGATACCTACCGGGACAAACGTTTGACTGTGGAACATCTGTTTCGTCGGAGTAATACTCCGTATTCATTTCAAGCGTTTTTTTTTTCGAAAATTTTGCATCTCTACTAGGTACAGTACATACCTGATCCAGCACAACGCCATGCTATCGAAAAATTCATGAGACTTGGCAACAGTAAAAGGAGTGAGATTGAACAAGGAAGATGATCGAAAACGAAACGAAGGAATAAATTTCCATCAGCTCGCAATTAACCAGTCTAGCCAACGATAGATAGATAGTCCCACATGGATAGACACCTAGGCAGGAAGAAGAAATAGGATGGTGAAAGACACGGACAGATGGTTATGTGATATGTATGTACACGGTATTTTGATACTAAAATATGTACTTCTCCGAAAGGTGGTCCAAAGATGACGATGATGATGATTAAGTAGACGTAGATGGCAAGGTTTCCCTTCTGACACCGCATGGACTGCTCACCAAAGTCGATCAATCCAGTGCATATCGAATTTTTGTCTCCCCTCTGGCCGTAGCCCCCAATGCATCCAGCTCGGTCGTCTTGAGGTGCGTGTGGGATCGGATGAATGAGCCACGGTCGTCCCTGACCGGTTCGTAACGGCGATCAGGGTTCTTGGAGACGACAGCGTAGATTGCCGAAACCAGGACCATGATCAGCAAGACGAGCGCAAACACCGCGTTGTAGATGGCGAAGACGACACCCATCACGCCATTTACGATAGCCTGAATGAAAAGGAAAACAAGTTAGCCAGGATGATGTTTATACTGTGGTCAGTAACTAGGAGATTCGATTTCTGGATTCATACCGGCTGGTTGAAAACGGAGGTAAACATGAGCAGGAAAATGGCGTTGACAAAGTGAACCGCATGAATGGCGATGTTGAACGTGTTCGTCTTCCGATCCATCCAAGGACGGAAAATGCAGGCAGCAAGCAAGGCAGCCGCTTCTATGAGAACCAGGGCGACGGCCTGGACAACACCAGCTTGCTGCGCCAGTCCGATAAAAGCGCCCTTGACGAGGATGTAGATGAGCGACGGAACAACCCAATAGTAGGCGGTGGCGCGGTACTGCACGTAAAGGAAACCCCACGTATGAAGAAATTTGGGGTTCGAATAGAGAATGTACGCCGGGTTTTTGTGCATCATAACCGATCGTTGGGCCAGTCTGATCACTCTGACGGCTGCCCAAGCAAGAACGCCGGTCATCGAAGCAAACATGATCGCTGCGAGAATCGCCTCGGCCACCGAGTCCCGTCTAGTGAGCTCCCACAAGCAAAGAACGACCATTTGAGGATAACCAATCAAAATCTGCCGTGCCAGTTTAGTTTGGGATATTGTTGACGGGTTCAAAAGAGAGACTGATGATAAGAAATCCTCCGGCTTACCAGTCGAAAGAGAATCCCCCGCATCACACTCGTCCAACCATTCCGGAAATCTTGAAATACCTCATGACTCATCCAGCCGTATTTGACAGCCACTTTCGTGTAAAGTTTGAACAGAACAATCAACAAAATCACGAACATGACAAAGGCAGCGAAGAATATCAAGCCGGTCATGAAGATGTTGCTCTCTTCGATATTGGCACGGAAGCCGACACGGTCTATGCCCCGGATAACCGTTGTGCTTGTCTGATCAAGCGTGGAAGTATCATCCCGTGCTACAAGATGGGCCGACGTTCTCTTAGCCACATCGCGTAAGAATTCGACGGAACGTTTTTGCACGGTAACGGACTCCTGGGAGAGGCTGGAAAGGACCGTTGACGGGGTCCCCCCGGTAGCCCTTTGATACCATGTGCTGAGGGTCTGCAAAAATCCAACCCGAATGATGCCCATGCTCCACTGAAAGTTCTGAGTCCACGCCTCGACAATCGGGGGCATCGCAACGGAGGTCATCCCGTACATGGCCTGAGCCTGGAAAAATCCAAAAAGCGAGAGCGCATTGGCGGCCACATGGGCGGCTGCGTTGGAAAAGCCGAGCCCTGAGGTGATGGCCGATGCCGTCAATGCAAGGCCGGCGATGGCCGCAAGCGTCCAGCCTACCGCTTTCTGGTAGATTGTCTTGCCATTAGACAGTTGCGCTTCAACGCAGGCCACCGTGCGATGCTGATCGGTCGAATTGATGATGATTCGAACCATTCCATCGATATCAGGAATGGTATATGCAACCCCTGTGCGAAACAGCCGCGTTAGCTCACGAAAGGAAAGAAACTATTGTATGTGCACCTTGGGTCTCCAGACGGGAGGAAGGTATCTCATACCAGGGATTTTCGACGCAATATTATCCGAGACCGGAGCACTGGCTACCATTCTAATGGGACCCATGTCTTGGATAGGACAGAAGTTGGTGGATAAATCGCTATGGCACGGGTCGATGTTCATTGTCGCAGCCGTATATCCATAGGCAATAACCTCCAGCTCAACGGTGACATTTCCCGTGATCGTGGTGTCTGCGATGATATCATACTGGAGGGTATTGTTGTTTGGCGTGAACACGACGTTGAACAGGCTTGCCGTGATGAGCGAATCGGCCTGACACGGGTCGAGAGACTTGGTTTCTAGTAATCGGGTGGCAGAGGCCAGCGGCAGACAGCCGAAGGCAACGGCGAGGAAGGAACGGAGCCACAACCAGCGCATGGTGGGAGGATTTCGGGATGACAGGAATAATGATTAAAATAAGCGATGGAGGTGGATGGTCGTGGTCGACTGGCGCAGCTCAATACTTGTCACCAAAGCCAACACTTCAGATCTGCGGATGATGGACAGTTCTCGCGTAGGAGACGGCGATTCGGGCCATGAGAGATTTCTTTCCACCAGTGTCGCAACTAATTCTGCGGTATTTCCCAGGCGGAGACTCGGTCGTAGAGGCGGGCGGACTGTCGTGCGGAAGAGATGCGAGAAACGAGCGGCCAGGGTGAGGAGTACGAAGCAGCGAAAAATCAGCGAAAGACAGGCGAGTCAAGGAGAGGCAAGCTGCGCCAAGCGGACAGGCGAAGAGATGCGGTTTGGATGATAAAAGCGAAAGACTGAAGGCAGCGCGAGCAGGATAGACGTGACACAGTCGGCGCAGCGAGTGACCAAGGTGTTGTTGGCGGCCGCTTCCGTCGGCGTCCAATCCAAGAATAGAACCGCCCTCCACCAGGGTGCCTGTCCAGAGGGCGCCCCAGCAATGCGATTATCGGGGAGACGCGTCCAATGCAGACTGCCAGAATCCCATATCAGCTGGGACTGCAAGGCACAGGCGTCGCGATGGGCGATGAGGCGATAAGAGAACGACAGTGTCCGTGTGCAGATCGCGCTGCCTAGCCGGGGAGGAAAGGGAGCAGGGCGAGGGATTCTGGAGAACGAAATGTCAACCCCACGATGGCCCATCTCGCATGCACGCAAATGCCAGCCACGCGCCGTGGTTGGCCCGGTTTCGGTTCTAGATCCCGGTCGGACTCCAGCCTTGGCACCCCACGGAATGGAACGCAGCTGACAGTCTGGAGTAGGGGCGCGTCGGAAAAGGCTTGGTCAGACCCAGCATACTTCAGTATTCTCGACTCCAAGCCAGATGATCTGTCTAGGTGTCTGAATCCACCACGATCAGAAGCTGCAGACGCACGCCATCTAGCAAGCTGGCGCGCGGAGAGGAGTGCCGTCCAGGATAGGTGGAAATTCTATGGAACCCTGAGGTTTCCTAATCGGGCATAGTGAAATTAATCCCGCTGACAGGACGTTCTGCTCCACTTCCACATCCACGGAACGCTCTGCGCCAGAAAATATGCTCGAGGTATGGATAGATATTATTATTATTGTCCTCTGCCTGTTCAAAGACTTCTCCACAGCTATGCACATGTTTAAACTTCCCGGAGTTCAATGCGCACCTCAACGTTTCGATCCTTAATTACAGATGCTCCAAGACCCGTGCATTGACTGACTCGAATGCCTTTGATCCCGTCCCACCCAACGAGATCGTCTTCCGCTTCCCCGCTTCCTTTGTTCCTCATTCAGGCTCAAAAAAACATCATTTCTAACCAATCTCTTCGATTTTCCACGCCCCTTGATGCCAGAGACTATCAATCTCTGCTGTGAAATTTGGATCAGCATCGTCTTGTAACCTGGAGGTTCTGCCAGAAATTCGCTCGCTATTGACTTCATCCATCCTTCTGCACGTCATACAACGTTGACCTACCACCTTGCTTAGATCCGTTTCCATGTGACTAATAATATATTTCAGAACACTCGCAGATCAGCCATCAGACTCAACCAGGTCATTCACTGATGGAATTGATGGTCACAGGCGATCTTGCCCCGTCTCACAGGAAATAGTCACAGTGGCACACTGGGTAGGCAAAACAAGGCATGTTTCCCAATATATAAACCATTTTGGGACCGTTGGGTGATGCTATCTTATCTTTGGTATTACTTAGTTGAACCCACTCCACATATATCAAGTGTTACACTGATCATTCTAGGCTTATTAACCGCCAATGAAGCCCGAGTTATCGATTCAATCCACATGCTTTGTGGTCGAAATGCGCCTCTAATACAAAAATTGAGGGTGTCGTGGCACTACCGTGTTATCTACAAAGATCTTGGTCACAACAGGTAATATTTCTGTGCGAGACAAGTTGGGTTTGAATCAAAGAATCAGGGGTCAGATATCAACTCTGGGATCGTCTTATTCGCTGGCTTCACCTCGAGTCAAGAACATGACCAAATGTTACCAGGCTGGACAGGTCAGAATGTCTGTGCAAGCTCTGGTTCTTTGGCTTTGGTTGTTAGCCATTTAGAGGAAATAGTTCTCCTCCATGACCTACTATTGGATTTGAAAAAGTACCCTTAATTATTCACTGCTACTGGACAACCTTACCATTGTTACGCAGAAAACAGTTTTTTTTTTCTTTTTTCTTTTTTTCTTTTCTTTTTTTTTTTTTTTAGTAAAAAGATGGCTAACTGAGTGATGTCAACCTAACCATGTAGTATTAATCGATAAGCCACAGTGAAGAGAGCGCAATATTATCAACTGAGGTGAGTAACTATCGGGGTTCGTCAGAACACAAGAAATTCCATCCACTTTAAACGTGCCGCAAGAGCTTCGCGCTTCCTTATCCAGAGCAGCGCCCAAGGATACGGTACTAGTACCTTGGCTTTAATTGACGTAAAGTCTTAGCTAGGCTCTAAAGACAGATGTCTAGCTCCACAGCATGCAGAACACCAGTAAACTTCCGCTTGTGCTTGCAGATACTCTAAATCGAAGTCACTAGGGTGATTGCCGCAAACGCCTTCGACGTCATCACACACGATGGGCGGTTCGACAACTATCTTAAATCGTCTCTTCTAATCTATACTGTGCCATATACTGTACGTAGCACCTTTGCAACAGGTCCTCTTTTTTTCCGCATGATACATTGTGAGACTTTTTTTGTCCAGAACTACAGGTCATTCGTGTCGCCCTTGGATAGTATGAGTCAGTTCCTGTGACAACGACCATTCCACGGTGGAAGTTAGTCGCGCAAAGCTCGTACAGCTCTAGATATAGTTGGGTAAACGTGCTCCCTGGATACCACGAGGTGCCTGGTAATACTTTAGATAGTAGACAATTACCAGGTAGTTCAGCTTTCTCGCGTCGAGTCTAGATTTGAAATGCGCCGGTCCTAAGTACAGTACATGTGGACAAGAAAATAATTCCGTTTCATCTTCATTTTAGCTTATCGAAGGCACGGCTAGGATTCACGATAAAGAAACTCTGGAAACGGGAAATGCCTGTCCCTGTTCGTTGTCCGAGCCGTAGTGACATCGGTGAGGGAATTTCCTCTGCGACCCTATCTATAGCCACGTGTGATAAATCCCACCCACCTATCTTCCGCATCAAGTAGTTGTAGTTTATTCAACTTTATTCAGGTGATCAGCAACTGTTACTGTAGCACAGTTTCATGACGATCGGCAGTGACTAAACTAAACGATAGGACTCCAGCCCTGATCAGCGACTGCTACCCGCCTGTGGATGTGATTAACCGACTAAACCCCGGATTACGCTCTGGTTGACCCGTGTCAAACGACAATGTAACGATCCCCAGGGGGGCGGTTTCCCCAAACTATATAGATCGTCCTCAACCGTCATGTCTCCACCATCGCATTCAGATCTTTGAATTACTTGCTTAGAGACAGAAAGACAGAAAGACATTGACAAACGCGCTAAGTCACAATTGGCTTTTCCTTCTAGTCCCATCAATCTGCTTTCAAAATGCGCTTCTCAATCGCGCTTGTTTCGCTGAGCCTTTCGGCCTTGGCTCTCGCCGGCTCGAGTAACTACCTTAATCTCTTCGACAATCCCTCTTGTGCAGGCGAGCCCTATGGCGAGTATGGAATTTACCACAGCGATGAATGCCATACCGGGCAGCCAGAACTTAATCGGGTGCAGAGTGTGAATACAGTCCTGATCGAAAATGGATGCTACAGTAGGTTTCCCCCGCGTGCAGTGTGGATCCAGGCCTATAGAATCTGTCCAATGCAGTCAGGCTAGAAGATTCACGCTGATCCATGGATCCTCTCTCTAGTCCTTGGATTCAAGCAGCCCAACTGTACTGGCACTGGCGTCATGGTCAGCTCGCCCGACCCGAATACTTGCATCAGTGCGAGTTCGCGAAGCGACAATGTGTCATATTGGCAGTCTTTTATGCTCAAGAACTGCCAGTAGAGCGCGTCAAACGGGTGTGACCAGTACGAATCAGAAGCAAACGACGTGGTAACGGTAAACGGTCGGTTGTTGGTTCAATGGTTACACCGCGTCTGTCAAACACATGGGAATGGGACGAATAGAATGGAACAAGCGGTTATTGATGGCGTCGGGTATTGAATTATTAGCAAGGCATGTCGGGAATAAGGGATACGGTGGGGAAAATGGCTCCTTCTCTGTTTTCTTTGGTAGCCTCCTGCAAAAGTAGCAATGATGCAACTTTCGATCTATTCGAGATGTCAGTGGTTCCAGTTTGTGGATTACAAGTATTTGTGTGCCTTCAAATAGGACTCTTTTTTTGTTTTTCCCCAGGATCCATTATCGATGGATAGCTATGATCCTGTCAAGGGTCTCTTCGCCAGGGATTAAATTCCTCTGTGGGGGCCGTCGGGTCAGATTGTATACATAAATAGAAAAGAGGCCGACGCCGGGTTACAGCTCGGCGATGGTTGGGAAACGTGCAGGTCCCTTGCTTATGTCAGCCATACTTATTCCAGGCCCGGAGGGGAAATTAATTAAAAAAGCCTCAGCCTTTTTATAGCTTTCTTTGACCACCTTACAAAAGCACAGCAGCACAGGCTCTTGGCTGCTGTGCACGGTCTTTTCACGATCTGCCGCTTGACTTGGGAACGCCATGAGGAAAGCAGGAGGGTGACAACAAAGTTGGGCAACTGCACGTTGCAGCTACCCCGCGAATTGAAGCCACGAGCGTGGAGCTTGGAGGTAGATCTTCAGACCGGTAGCTGCTCCTACTTCTGCTCCTCAAACACAACCCCTAGTCAGAAATAACGATGGGAAAGCCTCCAGCAGTGGTCATCATCGCCAGGTATGTATCCTACTACTTATGGGTCCCAGCAATAAGCTTGCCGACTGAACGCTTGCCTATACAGACACGGCGCACGGATCGACGCCGTCGACAAAAAATGGCATCTTACTTCCCCAACCCCCTACGACCCTCCTCTAACCTACGGCGGCTGGACCCAAGGACGCGCGCTCGGTGCCCGTATTGCCAGTCTGTTACAGGCTCGAGAGGAATCTGTCCATGATCATCATACCCAAGTGTCGAGCAGCTCGAACGGAGCCGAGAACGGCACAATCGAAACAGCAAATTCGGGGCAGGACACCCACACGCACCATGTAACCACAACGAGGGTTCGGAAGCATAAGGTCATCATCCATTCTTCTCCATTTCTCCGGTGCGTCCAGACGGCCATCGCAATCAGCGCGGGAATGAGCCAGTACCACCGGGCATCCAAGAATAATATTGTGAAACCTGTTAGTGATGCATCGCCCTCTCCAGAATCTGTACCGGAGGAAGTTTCACGAAAATCGACTCCTGTGATTCTACCGGAGGATAATGTAGTGCCGCTTGCGGAGGAGAAGAAGGGGAACAACAAAGCAGCTTCGCAAAAAGCATTCCCTAAGACTCGCCTTCGAATCGACGCGTTTCTGGGCGAGTGGCTTTCTCCAGAATATTTCGAAGATATCACCCCGCCACCAAGTTCCGTGATGATGGTGGCAGGTGCGAAATCAGAACTGCTGAGACGCGGTGAGGGCATACACCGGACTCACGATTCTGGCAGCAAGTCCATCTCGGGGCATTTCCCTGGGGGTTGGCAAAGCAACTCGAATCCTACATCTCCCGCACAAGAAGATGACGAGGGGCGATTCCGAAATATGGCCGCTATGGCCAATTCTCTTGCCAAACAAGGACGACCAGGAAGCCATGATGGTCAAGTCGGGTCGACTACCAAAACCCCCACCATCCGGGACATACTATCCAGGAGAGCGGCGCATGGGAACGAGGATTCTAGCCAGGGTTATATTCCACCGTCTCCATCCTATGCGATATCGTCGTCAGACCCTATACCGGCTGGCTATGTCGCCCACGCAAGAGACGCCTGCGTAGACGTGGATTATCAGTGGGACAGCATGCGGGAGCCGCACAACTGGGGCAGTGGCGGGGAATATGGCGAAGAATGGAGCGCGATGCATTTGCGCTTCCGCAATGGTCTGCAGAGCATGATAGACTGGTACAGGAAACAGGATCGTCCTCATCCCCACCATCATAAGGAAGACTCCGACGAAGATTTCACAGATGTTGTGTTGATTTTGGTGACCCATGGGGCTGGATGTAATGCCCTGATCGGGGCCTTGACCAATCAGCCAGTGCTGTTAGATGTGCCAATGGCTTCCTTGACAATGGCTGTTCGGAAAGATATCATCGAAGGCAAGGACGCTGCCCAGTATATTGCGGAGAAGAAAGAGCGACAGCAAGACGAACAGAATCGCCGGTCTTCGCTCGACTTGTCTCTCTCTCAAGAATATGATGTTTCTTTGATCGCCTCGGTCGAACACCTTCGAGCGGAATCGGACCAGCCACTCGCTATTCCCCAGTTGCCAGCTCCAACTGTCCACCGCTCCTCTTCAATATCTGCGTATCGTCACCGTCCGGTCAGCTCTAATGGACCTTCTTTCAAATTCAAGGACTCGGCGGAACCTCGTGGGATGAGCCTCCAAAGGTCGGCAACCACTAAGTCCCAGCACTCCTCTCGCTGTACCGCTGGCTTGTGGGGTTCCTCGTCTCTGGCGACTGCGGAGAACTCGGCAGAATCTGGTGAGAGCGATGGGGAGAAGATTGTCCCTAACTTTGGCCAGCCGGCTTCGGCCAGCAGTTCTTCCAAGCCGGAAAATTCCGAAAACAAATCGCAGACTGCAAATCCTGCTTCAGAACGGCCCAAGTCGCAGCGCGGACTGTGGAGCAGTGCGGTTATCGCGCAGGAACGCGAACCGATCCAGAAGCGAAGGTGGACGGTTACTGAGCGTCGCTAATGTGATGACATTACTGAAGTGACTTTTTTTCGGGATATCTTTTTCCCCCTCACGGCCTTTGAAATGATCTCTCTTACAACGATACCACCATACTTTTCCACTCGTCTACTTTGCTTTCTCACTCTTCTCTTCTCCCTTCTCATCATATGTCTTGCTAAGTTATGAATGTCTATTCTATCTAATGTCTATCTAATGGCTTCTCAACTGGTCTGGCGTCGTGATTGTGCATTTCTCTTAATACACCACTCTATGTACTACAATGGGCGTTTTTATCTTCCCAGCTCACGAGGGGAAAACGAAAGAGGCACAAAAATTCTTCTCTTCTCGCCCTAATAACTAGCTAGCTCACTAGGTATTATGGTGTTGTATTCTATTTATTCATTCTATACCCTATCTATGAGTTGAAACAGTATTCGGGATATAATATAATATAATATCATAATGATTCTACAGCAGTTTCATCTTCTTGGATTTGGCATCCACATGAAACTACTAGAGACACAATATATTCTGGACGTTGAGACATTAACTGGTTGCATGAGTGTTTCATTCCTTCCTCTCTATACTTTACTATATCTATCATTTATTTAACGTTGGAGACGGCGCTGGGTCGTCCCTACCACTCCTGTGAACGATGTTACAACTACTGCCATGATCCTCGCCACCATCGGCGGCGGCAGTATCAACGACAACAATCCGCCCCTCGACCCGTGGTGCGATGCCCTGCGTCCAACACGGCGTGAACTCCTCAGCCGCATCGTCGACGCAGCCCGCGTTGGTCCTCTGCACCCCAGCCAGTCGCATCCATTTCCGGATCACCATTCGCGCCAGACGCAGTCTGCGCTCTTCCTCTGCCGGGGATGTCGCCGGGAAAGTGATATAGTTGAGCTCTTCTTGCGGAGAAGTCAGGATCTCTGGTTCACAGTCGGATTCGGAATCCATGACCGGTCCGTCGTGAGCAAAAGATGAGGTTGTGGTGGTAGTGGAATAGGACTCGTCTGATGAGGAGTACGAGGATGATGCCTCTGCTGTTGTTTCTGTTTCTGTTGTCGTTGTCGTTGTCGTCATTGTTGTTTTTGCTGCCGCTGTTCGCTTTGCCCTGTGAGGCTTGTTCTGTCGGTGATAACGGCCATAGCGACGGATCTTCGGCCGTGCTAATTTTTGAGGAGTTGTTGTCGTTGTCGTTGCTGTTTCCGGTGCCGTTGCCGCTGTCGTCGTCGCTTTCTTCGCCGACTTTCGCCAGCTAGGGGGAGGACGTTCAACGGCAGGAGAGGGAGTTTTGAGCCATCCATTGCCATGCAGCTTTCCATGCACACCGTCCCAGTGCCGATGCAAACTAGCGCTCCATCGATGCCACTTGCCCAAAACCTTCAAGCTCAGGAAATACTGCCGCAGGATGGTGCTAATTAATATGCCGTTCTCCTCCGATATCAGCTCCTCCACTTCTCCGCCCGCCGATTTGACAAGCAGGCTTACATATCCGTCTTTGCCTCTAGACATGTACCCTCTCGTTGCCATAACGTAGTACCTCTCCAGCTCTATCGGTTTGCCGCCCACCTTGACCCAGCTGATCCTCGAGCCCGGCGGGGCTGATGGATTGAAGCCAAAGGTGATGTTCGAGACCTGAGGAAATCGACCATCGAGCCCAGGCAGCTGGCTGACCCCGTTTTCCAGGGCGTCCACGATATTCTTCCCCTGAATGTTGAGCACAACCACCGGGTCCTCAAAGGGGAAGCAATTCAGGATGTCCTTGAGTCGCAGGATCCCTGGGGGATAGACCTGGTCGCCTCGGATGGTGCCGGCGGCCATGATGGCGCATTCGGCATCATAGTAGAAGCGCATGAGGTCGCAGACAAAATTGCCCAAATTCGACTCTCGCGTGCGCACTGTGGTGAATCGAGCGTCCAGGGGACTCGCAGTATAGCCAATCGGCTTCTCCAGTTTCGATTTCAGGGCTGAGGTGAGTTTGATAACGAGATTCGTCGTCTCGTGATCTGGTGGGATGGTCCGGACGATGTCTCGTCGCGTAATGTTGAAATCCCACCCCCCTGAACCATCTCTCTTGCGCCAGGCTTCGATGTAGCTGAGCTGCTTGAAATCGGTTCCTGAGCGGAGGATGTGAGTGCCATTGACCACGGAATGGGCGTAGTAGTGATCGTGGCCGCCGAGGATGATGTCAATGAGGCCCGGCGGCGTCTTTTCCGCAAGTTTGATGTCGTTTGGTTCGCGCTGATGCGTCACGGCGATGATGATTTCGGCACCTTGTTCACGCAGGCCTGGTACCAATTCCATTGCCGTCTCGGAAGCGGACTTGTAGATGAGGTTAGGAGGTAGAGCATTGATCGTGTCCAGCCTGCAGAAATCTCAGTACTTTGATAGAGCGACAGTTACCATGAATTCAACTTACCACTCCCGCTCACCCAGGCCAATTATCCCGATCTTGATGCCATTCGACGAGGTCAACATCACCGTTCTCCCGCAGTTGGCCAGCGGAACGTTCTCGCCCAACGCGGGGTCGAGGACATTAGCCAGCAGCCATGGGAATTTGCACTGGTTCCGCAGGTGTCTGAACTGGGCGATTCCGAAGTCGAGATCGTGATTCTAGAAACCGAGTCAACATGGGCGTCCAATCCCGCAGCGGGAGATGAAGGAGGACTTACCCCGACACAGGCAACGTCCGTCCCTGCATTGTTCAGAAATGGAACCATATGCCGCCCTTTGGTAATTGTGCTCTCCAAGCTCGGATTGAATGCGTCACCGGAGAAGAACGTCAGGAGCTCTGGCAGTCCCGCAAATCGACGGTCGCAGTGGTAGTAGTTAATCACGGATTGGAAGCGTTGTACTCCTCCAATGGGTTCCGAGGAGCCAGGTCTGTAGATCGTGACGGTCAGTTATTACATAGATCTCCTCAACAAGAAACTCTTCCAGGAGGGAGGGATCCTTACTCGACGTGGTAGACATCGTTGAAGTGGAGGAGACGGAGATCAGGCGGCCCCTCCCGTCCGCTAGAAAAGGTGATAGACAGGCCGGCGTCTTCAATAGGAGCCATCCTCCAGGTTCAATTCAACGTTTGACTTGGCGACTTGTTCGCATCGACAGTACAGTTGCGGCATGCGTCCCCCCACTTCTACCGGTCTCAGGAGGGACGACACTTCACGATCCAGAATGACGCATACAACAGGAATCAATCGCACTTCAGCTCATAGCATTCAAGTCCAGTGGGATGGACTATCTACGGAGCAAAGCAAAGCAAATCAAGGAAATGGGGTTTATTAGCAGCGAAGTCTGGGGGATAAATCAGCGATGATTGCGCCACGCATGTGGCATGCCAACACCGCCGAAGGTCCAATCCAGAGTGGCTGAGCCAATCGGTGGGGGGATGGCAGACATGACTCAATAAATGAAAGGAGGGGGCCAAGCCAAGCTTCCAAGCTCTTCCTTCGCGCAGAAGCAGAAGAAACCACTCCGTACGCGGTATCCACCGGTGTGAATCCATTTCTCGTCGATGATGTCAGCGTCTGTTAAGTGAGTTAGTCAGGCCGGGGTCGGGGTTGTGGAGCGCGGAACAGTCGGAGGGTCGCACGCGTGACGCCAAACTGAATTCAGGAACAGGTCGAATTGTCGAAGACGTTAATTACTGGATGATAAGATCGGACGAAAAGTCTTCTATAGACACACATATGCTCGGCTTGTATCGTACTGTACAGTACAAAATTCTCCAAGATTATGCAGCTATATACATAATAGCTCGTAACGCAACTATCCTGATAAAATACAGAACATTCTCCAGAACCGTGATTCATCCAGTCCAAGCATAAGTAAAACACCAGAACCTCTTCCCATGCCATGCATCTGAATACCCTCGTGAATAAACGCCCAGACAATAATAGCAAACGCATAACATAATCTTGCACCTCGCTGTCTTCATTGCACTCCGACGGGCTTTGCGCCCTTCAAATTGACAACTCGACCTCCTCCCGCTCCCTGAAATGGATTTCTTGCCAATGCGGATGGTGAAGGCGGACGGACCCATCCTGGCACGTCTTCCCCTTCTTCCATCTCTCGAGTGTGAATTGTTTGCCAAACATTCGGAAACCCTGTCGGTAGAGCCCCCCGGTGTCGTGCGCCTGGGATGGCAAATCGCGGGTTCTTGTGGGTAAGGTAACCACGCATGAGGCCTTGATTCAGAAGGGAAGCAAGAATGGACTCGAGCTCTCGCACGAGTTCTGAGGGCTGTTCTTCATTTGAGTCGACATCTCTGTGAGCCCTATTGTACGGGTTCAATTCTTCTAATTGTTCACTGGACTCTTGGTCTGGTTCCCCATCAATTAGCGCGCCAGTTGGGTTCTCCCGCCATTCACCTTCAGCGTCAAAGTATCCATCGGGCGTGATGTAATCGTCAATATTAGGTTCCGTATGTGATTCAGGAATGAATCCATTCAGTCCTTCAAAATCACTGTCCGGAGGAAGGTCGACGGTAGCGGATCCATATCCATGCTTGGAATCTGCGTCCGTTGCCCCGGGTTTCAAAAGCGTAGGTTGAGAGTGACGCCTCTGAATAAACCTCACAGCCGCTTCCAGTTTGCTCAGATAAAGGAATGGAGGTGGTCCCCGCTGAACCTGTGGATTCAGATCTGCTTGGAAGCCGCCGTAAATGAACACCTTGCGAGTGAGTGATCGCCACACCAGGATCTCGCATCGATGGCGCAGCTGAAACAAAATACCTTTCCGTGCAAACCATTCTGCCGTGGGAGAGCCCACAGCCAAGTGCTCCCGGAAAGCGAGATAGTCCCCGGAAATAATAATGCGACATAGAGGGACGAATCTTTCCGCGAGACCCTGGGCTTCGGGCTTTTGAAGCAGCATTGGAGAAGGGAAACGGCCCATGATGATGTTGCATGTGATGAGGTAGATCAAGATCAGGTGCTTTTGTTTAGTTGCCTGGCGATGACATTGGTCGTAGGCTGCCTGCAGCGCAATCTGAGCTGGATAGAAGAGGTTGTTGAAGAAGAGATATCTTCCCAGATAGTACAGATAAGTCACCCGTTGGGAAGCCGGAAAGTAATCCAACGGAGGGGACTGCGCGCTGATACTAGCGAACATCTGCTCAGCATTTCGGAGCTTGCCACACTACGGATCTGTCAGTAAATTGCTCAGCCTACCCGCATGGGACCGCCATACCTGAAACAATAGCTTTAAACACAAATTGGCCATCAAGTAAATGCCGACGCGCTTTCCTTCTGGCTTTCCAGTCACACCAGGTGCGCCGGTCCTGTCGGTCAAACATTTGATGAATGCCTCGCGCACGACGTTGGCCGATTGCTCGACCAGGGTGACTTTTTCCACGGCTTCATCCTTATCAGAACGTCCTTCTTGTTGCAAGAGGTGCGCTATCAGCTCTGGCCGCCGGTCCAGGCCCATGGCTAATTTGGCAAGGACTTTGGAGAGATAGAGAACTGTAGGCAGCACGATTACACCCATCTGACTGTCGCCGAGAGCCAACACACATTGACTATAATAGCAATTCATCCGGATCAGTGCATAGTTCAAAACGAAATCTTTTCCCTCTCGTTCTTCTCGCCAGATAGATCGCCGGGACATGGGCACGGTTTGGTCAAGAGGTAGCCAATCGCCTTTAATGGGCCACTCGTCGGGAAAGAGGATGTGTCATCGATTGCGACTTACTTCAACAACGCCCTCAAACGATCATATGTCTCGAGGAGATTTTCGACATTGACATCGCGCAGGAATGCAAAATAGAGCTTCATAAACACAGGGAACGCAGTCCACGATGTTCCTCCCTTGGTCTTGGGTACTAAGGCTTCACACCGTTTCAACAATTCCGCGTCGCCTTCTCCGTTGGGGTATCTCGTCCTCAATTCCACCACCATCTGTCCGTAGATATCCGGCAATGGCGGCTCAATCTGCAGGAAGTCTTGTAACTTCTCGCCATCTCGAGTCGAGACCAGCTCTGCTAGGCTGGTGAGGAAACGGTCCAACACGGGAGTTGCCATGGCTGATTTCGCACAGGGAGGAAAATTCGACTCGGACGGACCAACGCAGATATCCAGCTGCGAGAGATCTTGTTGAATACGGTCAAAATGCTTTGGACGGTGGTCTTGTGGACGAAAATTATGAAGAATAAAGTGCTGGGCCAGATCGGTGCATGTTGATTGAAGATTGTCGACGTCGGGCCAGCCAGCGTCGAATTCAACTAGATCAACGGAGCTCTGGTGGAAAATTGCATCAAGGCTGGATTCGAGAGATAAAGAGTCGGAACTGGAACGTCTCTGGTTGCGACTGTCAATTGCACTGTTTTGCCTCGTATTCACTGAGCTTTTCGAGGCGGGCCAGTAGCGTCGATGGGTTCTGCCGGCAGCTGCCTCACCGCCTGCCCTTCCTGCCCGCCGAGCACGAGGTCTCCACCTCCACCACATGACGGCATTGATAACGAGAATAATAATAGCTCTCTTCTTCTCAATAAACAAAGTGAATTCTTCAGTGAATCATCAGTCAGCTCCAAAAGTGCTTCATTCTCACCATCGTGGTCTTTCCATGCTTTTATAGGGGCAGGTCTTTGTGGCCTCCCTCTCCGCCTTTTCAAACGGGTCTACTCTTGTACTCTTTGTTCAATTTCCTTTGCCAGGCTGATTAACCATCTTAATTTGCAAAAGATGTGTTCTTTCTTTAGTCTTGCTGTCTCTCCTTTGTGGATTCTGTGCCAAAGGCTGGGATCTGCAAAGCATGTGACCCGTCTCAAGGTCGATTCCTGACCGTGAAATGAGCTTTTTTTATTTCCTGTTTAGAAGTCCACAATTCAACTACAGAGAAGGACAAATCCTATAACCCTAGCAATGGTAATGCTTTTGACAAGTTAAGACCTCCTAATAGTTCGCTGTCAAATGTGATATTGCTGTTGCCATAATAGATCAAGCAATATAGGCAGGTGCCAGCCTGCAATCACATGCATGAGACCTATGGCGTCATGGTCCGCTCAACTGCACGTGCAAAGCAAGAAGGCAGTCAACTGTTCCTTCCCAGCTATCACTCGTATGCCTTTTTGAATTGAATTGAATCGAATCAATTTCATTCATTTCGCTAGGCATTGTGGGCAAATCTGTTTTCCTACTGGAATTGATTAACTGTTTCTTCTGTCTCTTTCTCTGCTGGTGCAGGCTCTCGAGCCGTTGTGCAATGTCTTTACTGGACAGAGTTCGTTCAATTCTCGGCTTCGCTCTGAAGAATCCCTTTTCTTTCCTGTATCTGCTCTTCCAGAGAATCCTCAATCTGATCTTTTCCCCCGCTCCACCGCCACCCTGCAGCACGCTTCGTCGCCCAAGAATTGCCGTAATTGGTGCAGGCTTGACTGGCATTTCTTCTGCTGCTCACTGTGTTGGACATGGCTTTGATGTGAAGATATTCGAGGCAAGGTCGAAGGAGAAGGGGTTGGGTGGGATATGGAGCGTATGTTCCGCACTGATATATACTTCTAGGATGAATTGCTAATGTGGATGCTCTCGCCCAGCGTGTAAATTCGACATCCGCTCTTCAAATCCACAGTCTCCTCTTCCGGTTCCATCCCTCCATGAAATGGGATTCAGCCTATCCGACTCAGAATGAAATTCGGGAACAGATTGTTGCTCTTTGGAAACGCTACGGTCTTCAGGGTAAAACTGTGTTTAACACCCCAGTAACATCTGTGAAAAAGACTTCCTCAGAACAATGGATCATCAATGAGAACGAAGCGGAGCATGGACTCTTCGATGCGATTATCGCCGCCGTTGGCGCATGTGGGGATCCCGCGATGCCTTATCTGCCTGGACAGGAGAAATTTAAAGGCCCAACATTACATTCTTCAGAACTTGATGGCAAAGAATTCAAGGGCAAAAAGGTGCTCATCATTGGCGGCGGTGCAAGTGCCGTCGAGGCCCTCGAGTATGCCGTCAGCTGCGGAGCTGGTGGAATCGACGTGCTGTCACGATCCGATAAATGGATCATTCCCAGGAACGTCTTCGTCGATTTTCTTCTCTCGTTAAATATCTTTGGCGGAGAGACGTCGTTCGCTTGGATTCCGGAGTGGTTACTCCGCAAGTTCTTCTACCGGGACCTCGACGATATTTCTCCAGCCGAAATCGGCTTATACACGGAGACACCAATGGTCAGTTCACAGCTTTTCGACCAGATCCGGTCAGGAAAAGCGCGCTGGTTGCGCGGTGATATTATCTCCGTGGAAGAGAACGGGATCATGTTCAACCATCGCGCCAAGGGCGTACCCAAGGGTGGTCCTGGCCACCAGGCACTGGTGCCAGGGGACGTTATCATCATGGCTATGGGATACAAACGACCATCTCTCTCGTTCCTGCCAGACAAAGTGTTTGAAGGTCGGTATGGCCCCCCTAACTGGTACTTGCAGGTCTTCCCTCCCCAGGAGCCTAGCATCTGTGCGACGAACAGCACCTATGTCAACGCTATCGGAACGGTCGGGAGTTTTCATATCGGCATCTACACACGGCTCCTGCTCATGTTTCTTGTCGACCCATTGACCCGACCGAATGAACACCTAATGAAGATGTGGATCGAATTCACGATGTTCATGAAGACGTTTGCGCCCACAGGGGCATTCGATTTCTTCACATATACGGAACTACTCTACTGGTACTGTTTCGTGAGCATCATCAACCCGTTTCGGTGGAAATGGGTGCCGTTCGTGTTCTTTGGTATTGGCCGTTCTCTCCCCATAAAGGTAGTCGAGCAGGAAGACCGCCTTCGGGGGGTGAATGGGAAAAATAAATGATAACCTGAACTGTTCAGGGATGATCTTGATGACCCAGATCAGTATCCGTGTGGTGAAGTCGTTGATTTGAATCTGTATTTGTATATTTAGGCATCGACTATGCAGGAAGAACACTGCACGTACACATTCTAAAAATGTGTAAAATAGAAATATATGTGTACCTTTATCGATATCATTGAGTAACAATTGACTTGATCATTGCCTACACCGCTAACAGATGATCATTCTCCTTTGGCCTGCCTCCTACTCTTGTCATCCTTCTCAGCCACAGGCTTTCGCCTGTCTAGGTTGTAGTTCTGATTCACTTAAACCGAACAACTTAATAGCCATTTTGTTGCAATGGCACTATAAATGGGCGAGCCTTATCAATTTAATAAGGAAGCGCGTTCATCTAGCAGCAAGTTAGCTCCCCATTGATCCCCACGGGAGCTCCAAGTAAATTATGACATCATCATCACGAGAACGATCACATGTCTTTCTTGTACATGTACTTCTTTGAGCACTCTCTCCATATCCCACTCTAAGCTATGACTGATGATCATTTGGCATCCTGACCACCTTTGATTTCGAAGGCATAGAAAACACATTACATGACTACATAGTCGACCAGGGACAAAATGGAGGATCCGGGTATGTATTCTTCGCATTCATTATGCTTCGATCTGGATTCGAGCCGTCAGCATCAATTTTCTTGATAATGTACTGCACTGTACTGTACATTGTTCCTGATTAATTCAATTCAATTGTTGCTCTGCATCTTCAACCAACAACCAACCTATCCCATCGATCAGACTCTACCTATTTCAATTTCTTTTTTTTAACGAACCATTCTAATCTAAAACATAACCATCACGATATGGATTCGACTCTATCAAGTCAAGGAAATTCCCACCGTGATCCGCCTCCTCACCCAGTCACCGCCCTCCCTCCAGCAGGCCACGATCGAGAAATTCTTCACTCCGTCAGCGTCCTTTACGCATCCGTTCTGCAGCACGCGGAGCTTCGACGGGTCGCGCTGGCTCATCGTCATGATCTACCGCTTCTACAAGATCATGTCGCCGCGTATTGACCTGGAAGTGAAATCGGTTGGTGAGTGGAATACACATCCTTAGCTCTTCCTCCCTACCTGTCTCTCTCTCTAGCTGAATATACGTATTTCTTCGGATTGGACTATCGTCATGACATGATTCTAATGGCTTCCCCTCTTTTTCTGGGGAGAGTGAGCTTTCAGCCTTCGACGAACCCAACCTCAAGCTCTACGTCACCATCTCCCAGCTCTTCGCCGTCTTCCTCATCCCCTTCTACCGCGCGCCCGTCACCCTAACCGTCGTCTTGACGCTCACTACGGACCCATGGGACTACTCTGGTCGGCATGGATCACCCCTCGATGACGACGAGAATGGCGCTGCTGATGGGGATGGTCACTCGTTGTCATCGTCGTCATCATCACGTCGATACTGGATTGCTGCACAGGAAGACCTCTACCAGACGACTGAGTTCGTCAAGTTCTTCTTGCCTTACGGAATTGGTGTCTGCGTCGTGCTGCTCTGGCACATGGTTGCGACGGCTGCATGTGTTCTTGGAGCGATCGCCCTCTGGCCTGTGACATGGTTGGAAGAGCGAGGACGGTGGCCCCTGAGCGAGGGGTGCAATATCACTGAGGCTGTGAAGAAGGCTATATCTGATATACCCTGGCGGCAGCAGAGGAAGAAACAATGAAGAAGAAAGACTTGAAAAAGAGAGAGGTCGGTAAAATAATGGTGAGAAGCAGTAGTAGCTGGAGTCAGTTCTGACAACACAATCCCTACATGTACCTCTTACCTTTCTACCGCAATTTGTGGACTGGTTTAAACAATTCGAGTCGTTCAATTCAATCTTCTATCAATCATTAAAACACCTTTCGTTCTCCCTCCCGTTCCATGCTTTCCACAGCTTTAAGTAATACGATAAGAACAACACCTGTACTATAGAAACAATAATTTCCTTTTTCTTGCACACCGTCATGTTCTTGTGTAAATATTAGTCAAGGGGATATGGCGAGGATTACGGCAAAAAGGATCGTAATACGGAGGAATATGAGTGGGGAGCCTGCCTTCGAAGCAGACTCTTGGTTACTAATAGACCAGGTATTCTCTCTTCGAATCAGTAGAGTGAAGAGAGAGAGACACATGTAAGGCTTGCTGACGATAATGCAGGATATTACTCAACTACAGAGTCAGACAAACGGTCAACTCTTTAGAATAATTCATTTAATTGAGGAAAGCAAGAAAATGAATATCAATTTATATACAACTTCAAAAGATGATGAGTCAAAATGAGTTGGATATAATGTTTCCTCTAGGCCAAAGCCCCCATCGGATCCCACAAAGGCAGCACCAGTGGCTTCTGGTTGAGGACATCGCTGATCTCCTTACTCACAAACCGCGGGTCCACGACCACTTGGTACACGAACTCGTCAAACCACTGGTCTGTCATAACGAAGTAGCCCTTGTCGCCGGCGTTCTCGCCCCAGGAATTCTCCACCCGCCAGCGCACTGGCTTCCCTCCTTCAATATGTACCGCCGTCAGCACCATGGCGTGGGTCATGGCTGACTCGCCCGTCTCCAGACGCTGCGCCTTGTTCATTCCCAAGGTGATGTTGAACCCCAGGTGGTAGTCGTACAGGTTCGTGTCCATGATCCCCAGGTTCGAGTCGGAGAACTTCCCTACGTCGCTGCCGAAGAACACGGGGATTCCGGCACGGAGCATGGAGATGGCCGCGGACTTCATAGTCTAGAGTACGTCATTCGTGTTAGTAGAGATATTTAATTGCAGGCTAGACATCAAGGAGAAACTCACATCCACATCCACATTAACGTACTTGATCGGCTCCCCGCCGATCACATTGCCCAGTCTGTCGACAGTCAGGAGTCGCCCGTAAGGATTGCGTGGGTCGTTGACTAAGCTAAACAGCTTGTTGACATCTGTCCCGCCGCATGCCCGGACGCCCTCCTTCCTAGACAGGCTCGATGCAAACTCCGTCGGAGTCAGTGATATTCTGTGATACTTGTCGTTGGCATCATAGAAATCCCACGTGAACTCCTTCTCGGGACTAGGAGGGGCACCCAGCAGGATGGTCAGGATTCGGTGAATCTCCTGCAGGAACTCTTCCTTTCGCTCAGCCAACGACGCCTTGGCGGTCTTGCTCCGCGCCAGGTCCCGTAAGATCAATGCGTGCTCCCGGAGCTTCGTAGTGAGGAGCCTCGACAAGGTCGAACTGTTCTTGGCGTTGTAGGAATCTGGGTACAGCGCCTGGGGCACCAGCCCGTACTTCCTCACGAGATTAGCAAGCATGTCAAACTGACCGCCGTCCCCCACAGGTGACGCAAACAGGGCTTGAACCAAACGACTGTCGAGATCCTCGTCCGCAGTGTCGATCACGTGCTCGAGGAACCAGTTGGCCTTCTCAATCTTGTCCCAGTAGAACAGGTAGGCCTGACTGAGCTGGAACTCCTTGAGGTTGTACCTCTTCATGATGGCAACGCGGAAGACATTGGTGGCGGCAAAAAGCCAGCAGCGTCCAGAGGACCGCTGGTTCGTAATCGGAGCTCCCTCAAGAGGGATCTTGATATTGAAGATCTGCGTGTCTGCGACTGTAGCGGCATGGTTCTTGAGGATAGATCCGAGAGGATTCGCAGAAAGGGCCGAGATCGCCAAGCGATTCTGGAAAGGTGGTCAGCGATGCCCCGAATAGATTGCCGTCATTGTATTACCCTTGGGTCTTGCAGCAGCTTTTCTTCCCAGTGTTTTGCCTGGGACAGAGAGATCGTCGTCGCTCTCTCTCTGACAGAATAGGGAGGAGCTAAAGCAGATGTGTACGTTAGTGATGCGGTCCAGAAGGACATTGGAATTGGACGCACGTTGATCATCCTCCTCATAAGCGTATTTGTCCTTGGCATCTCTGAGGCTCAGAGCTCCCATCCGTCGAGCCATAGCCTGTTTCTCATCTTCAAAGGCGCGGGGAACTGGCTGGGACGGAGCAGCACCCATGGTGATAGCGCAATGCGATAGAAATGACAAGCAGTGGAGTGCGTTCAGATGAGATGTTGAGGTCAAGCAACAAGCAGGATTGAACGAAGGTAGCGTCAATTCGAGGCAGCGAAGGAGGACCTTGGGGTCGCCTTGTGATTCGCCCGAACGGGCAGGTAGATACGGGCAGTGCGGGGAGCTATGCTTATCTCGATAAGACCAACCAATCGGCTGGCCGCCTGATCGTCGGCTGATGACTTCATTACCCACGACGATCGCATCACTATCCGCACATGATCAGCGGATTGCAAGAGATTTAGCAGATGCATCTTCTCTTTAAATGGGACGATAAGCCCATAGACACCCATTCCGTTGTATATATTGCATATATATGTATTTTCTCTGTTGGTCCTTGGATTAGTCATTTAGAAAGTGGCGTTTTCAGGTCAAAGGATATGGAAAATCGTGCAACATTGGGAAAATATATACGGATGGGACTGTAGCTGAAGGAACTATACATTCATCGCAATTCAGGATCAGGGCCGTTCCTGTCTAAATCTGACTTAGTATAAGCCATTAGAACCCTCATTATAACACGTTTTGACGTAGAACGAGCCAATACTCTGGTCCATATCATACAGTGATGGACAAGCTAGACTGACTACTTATCTTTCATGTTAGTGTTGGATTCAAAACAGAGGCAACATCCACGAATAGGAGGGAATTATTCCAGCCAAGCCCTATATACAATACAGGTCTCGCTTCGCTGACTGGACTTGTTTCAAGAGAGAAAAAAAATTCGAGATGCTGTCTGGACTATGCCAAAGCAAGGACATTCCACTCCAGGTCTACGTACTTTTTCAAGGCGATCTAACTTCCCGTATATTCCTGACAACACATATATTTGCTTGTAAGCGACGGTCTTCATCAACTATTCCTGAGGTCTAGCCATATTCTACAATATTCTTTTGCCATATCTCTTACTGATGTGTAGCATGCTTACCTTTTCTTTTTGCGAAAGCATGCGACAGTGTGCAATGACACGAGTTAATACTTTTATCTACTGGTAATGCAAAGGAGGAATCAGATTCAATGGAGTGACATTAGAGTCTCTAACTCTAGATCTCCAGATCTTGACTTGACATGTAAAAGAAAGAATATCTGACATGACTATGTAACAAAAACAGGGGTACTTACTGTGCGTACGTTACGTACTACTCTACTGCTATGAAAGAAGATAAACAAAGGAAAACCGTGCACATGGCGTTAAATCTTCATCGTCGGTCAAAGAACCAGCTGCTGCGCTTCCCCGTCGATTCCTGCTGTAATCCAGACACCGTGGGAATCTGCGCAGCGCCGTTGCCGTCCACAACACCACCTCCTCCTCGTAACGGTTTCGCAATCCGCGATCCTCCAAAGCTGAAGCCGGCGGGCCCGTCCATCGACGTGCTAAGACCCCGTGTTGAACCCTGCTTGGCGGCTTCCAGCCTCTCCTTGACTGCCGTCAATTGAGCCTCGAATCTGTGACCTACTGTCAGTCCCACATCGAAAGAAAAGAAGAGAGCGATTATTGAAAGCAAAGGGGCGAGCATACCGGTGATTGGCGGCCGTCAGCTTCTCCTGGCTGTCTTGCAGCAGGCTCTCCAGACTAGCAATCCGCTCATTCCGTGCAATGAGCTTACGTTCAGCAATGGCAACCTCCTTCTTCAAGCTGCTGTTCTGCTCCACCAGCTGGCGTTGCACGTGCGTCAACTGCTCCAGGTTACGCTCCAGGAACGCCATCTTCTTCTGCTGGGCCCGGTTGTTCGAGGACCGCAGCACGTTGTTGTACTGCTCGCGCGTCTCATCCAGCGAGATCTCGAGCTCGACCACCCGCTCACAGCGGTTCTGCAGGTCGCGCATCAGCGACTTCTTCATGTTGTCAAATTCGGCGATCTGCTGCTGAAGGGTCTTGCTAGTGGGGGAGACGGCCGCTCCGTTAGCCGCGCGAGCCTGCGCATCCGCGAGGGACTGTCGCAACTGTTTCAGTTCCTCGTCCTTACGAGCCAGCTGCGCCTTGATCTCCTCCACCGCCTGGGCCTCAGCATCCCGACGGCTGACATAGATCTTCTCCAACCGTTGCCGAATCTCCTCGACATCAGCCTCTCCGAGGTTCCGCTCCAGAAGTTGCTCGTATTCACTCTCCAACTCCGCCAGCCTCTTCTCGAGCTCAACCCTCTTGCTGTCCTGCAGCTCGTGGATTTCACTCCGGTCACTCATCGTCAGTTCGGCCTGCCGGACAAAGCCCTGAGTCTCCTGCAGAGCAGCCCGCAGTTCAACGAATTCATCTGGGGCGACAGCCTCACCAGAGGAACTCGTCTTGTGGAGCGAATCAACGCGTTCGATCAGTTTTTGAATCTTGCGCTCATTGTCCGAGAAGACATTTGCACCCAGATCAAATCCTGCCATCATCTTCGCCATCCGTTCCGCCTTCTTCCGCTCCTTCTCATCCTGTGCTGCACTAGTCTCCTTGGCACGCATGCGGGCATCGAGCAGTTGCTGCTTGACTTCATCCAGTTCGGCAGTGAGCTCAGCATTTGCCTCCTTGAGACTGTCCATGGTGATGTTTGCTTCCTTGCTCTCAAAAGTGACCTTCTCGAGTTGCATGCGCAGCTCGTTGACTTCGGTATTGAGCTTCTCGTTGTCCTTCGCGGTTCGAGCGGACGTCTCCTTGAGAGTCTTGAGTTCCTCCTTTGCTTCTTGAAGGCCCCTCTCGACATTCGTGATGTAGGTTTCTTTCTCCGCGAGCTGGTCTTGCAACTCATTTTCCCGTCTCAGGAACTCCTCGCGCTCATCTTTGTCAAGAACAAGACTGGGCGTGCTGGATCGATCGCCCGTCCTTGAGTCCGGTCGACTAGGCGTCTCTGCCCGAGCCTCTGATTGCAATCGTGACGGAGTCGCGGGACGAGGCGTCTTCGAGGCACCAATTACTTCTGATCGTGGTGGCACCCAGCGCTCCTTTGGTACCGTCTCTCCACTTCGCCATAACTGCAATTCCCCTTCGAGTGACGAAATGTAGTTCTCAAACGTCGTCACCTGGTTCTGAGCTTTCCGCAGCAACTGCTTCAGCTCCGCCGGGCTCAGTTCCGCGTTGACCTTCGCCTTGTTCTTGATAGCCTTGGCACGGACACCAAATCGCAAGGTCGAAAGGGTCTCAGCATCATTGTAACTGCTGGGTGAACAGTTGATGATGAGCGTCGTGCGCGAGTTACCTCCCAAACTTTCCTGCAGGATTCGGGTGAGTTTGGAGTCACGGTACGGAACGTGTGTCGATTTGCCGTCCGTGAGCGCGTTGATGACCATGCCCAGAGCACTCAAACTCTTGTTGATCTTCTTGGCCTCCTCGAGCGTCTGACCACTGGCGCCGGTTTTCCCGACCTTCTCACTACCCGCCAGGTCGACCAGGAACAGCTGACCGCTTTTGGCTGATCCCGTCTCGACGTTCTTCTGGGTGACGGTGATCACGAAGATCGAATGGGAGCGGGACGATTCCTGGTTCATGTTGGTAGCGGCTACGGCCCGAGCCGCTGCACCACGCCGCATCACCTCATAGACCTCCTGGACGCTCGACACGTAGATCTCTAATAATCCCTTGACGTAGACGCCCCGAGACTTATCTTCATGGACCGGCAGATTGTCGTTCTGAGGAAACAGCAAATCTCGAATCCGCTCCATGTAGATTTCCATGTAGCTCACCCGGACCGTATACTCGATGTTGCTCGGGCTGGTCAAAATGCTGGCGAACATCTGCTCGACAATCCGCGGAATGATACCCTTTCCCTCCTCATCGTCGATGTCCGTGCCCATCATCGTGTACGACTTACCGGCACCGGTCTGACCGTAAGCGAATACCGTGCCATTGTAACCGTTCAGGATATCATCGACTGTCGATCGGATTGAGTACTCGAAGATATCCGACTGCTTCGAGTTCATGTCAAAGATCCGGTCGAAGGTGAAGGTACCGGATCCTTCCTTGGACTGCATCCAGTCAGCCGGCTGCCAGGTAAACAGCAAACGAGACAGGTCCTCTCACGTTGATCCGGCATGTGTCCTCGCTCTCGAATTCCACGATCGGTTCTCCTCCTGACGCGAGTTCGACTTTGTTCTGCGGCCGGAATCTCGCAACCACTGCTCATCATACCTAGCATCAACAACTGTCCAAACCTCGACATCTAGCGGGGGATCGGGGACCATGTGCATACCCTTAATGGTGTTGGAGTTGTTCGAATTCGACCTGCAAAGCACATGATCAGTTATGGTCCGAAGTCTGAAGCAATGAAAGGGGAAACCAAGACTCTGGTTGTGTCGTATGTCGACCACCGGAAGACGCATAAACAAGAATACTTACGCCATATTGGTATCGGTTGAGCCGGCACCGGCTCTGGCTCAGCCAAGAACAAGAAAACTTGACAAAAATAGACACACGAAGTTCCCCAAATGGGGAGTGGGAAAAAAAAAGTAAGAGGAGGAACGAATCCGAAAACCGATACGAGGACGAGACAAGAGTCGGCTATGTACAGTGAAGTCGTCGTCGCAACGAAAATGTGTCAGGGGTCCACGTGCACCAGGAGACGAAACACGCGGAACACCCAGCACCACCACCAACAAACAGCAACCCAACGCACTCCCCGCACTCCCTGCCTAAAGAGGAAAGATGACAAGAGGGGTTGGGGGGAGGTGAAGCGAGGAAAGGGGTGAAGGGGATCGAGTTGAGAGTTGGAATGAATCAATTAATCCGGCGGTGGGATTAGAGTGAAACTGGCGTCCTACTGCCTACTTTTGTTGACAGCGGCACAAGGGTGGAGTGGGTACTTTCTTGGCACCCACGAACGCCCGCAGCACCCCTGCGTCTCCGCTGCTACAGGCGATATGTATAGCTGGCCAAGTGACGACAATTGCTGAGATATCGTAGATCTGGTACAGTCCTGGATGCAAAGATATTATAGTAATCAAATAAACGCAGCGTTATTCCACGAGGGCCCTGCTCAGTTTTGTGAGACCAGAGGGCATAGCTCGTATTAAATAAAAGCCGGCAAACTGATCTTTGAATTGAAAAGAACTAGATGCAATGCTAATTATGAAAGATTCAATACAGGTGGACGTAACAAGAAAGGGAAACGGAACACCATGCCACGTTCACCACGCCAAAACTCCGCGCTGTGCAAAATAAACAAAACCGAAAAGAATCCATCTCGGGCTGTCCGCGGCATCACCACGCTAGTTGAGCAGCTCGACGATGACGGATTTGCAAAAACAGAAGAACAAAAAAGTACGGAGAGTTCAACTCCTGTCGCGTCTCTATGTGCCGGACGGATTAGGCTCGCAGATGAACATGCATATGCAAAGCGCGGGGTCAAGGGCAAAAAGAAGAAACGACATTGAAACTCTCAGCTTGTGGGGTGTTGTAGAGAAGGGTGTAGAGAAGGGTCAACTGCTGCGACCTAGTCTTCCCAGCTCTTTTCCACCGTCTCGCGCACCCGCTTGATGTATTCACGGCGGTTGTCCTTGTACAGATTCGATGCCTCCACGTTGGCAGGAGACGAGGTGTTGGGATCGTTCAACAAGCTGTATGAAGATGAAAGAGGAGGGTCAGCACGTGATCCTAAGGTTGTTCGACACTCGGGAATGCGTACCTCTGAATACTGGTCAGAATGGCTGCCACGTCGTAAGTGGGGCTCCAGCGATTCTGCAAAATGTCAAGGCAGAGCTCGCCCGTCCCGTAGACGTTGGGATGGAACATCTTGCTGATGAACTTGACACCCGGGGGCTTGTTGGGGTACTGCTCTTCGAAGTGCATCACGAGGCGGAAAGTGCCATCCTCAAAGGGGGTGTCCGCTGGGCCGATAATCACAGCATTCCTAAACAGCAAGATGAGGTTAGATATTGACCGGTTTTCTCCTAGGGAAATTGCGGTAGATGAGGGTTGAGACGAACCATACCATAACGTTGTCCGCGACGGGGGACGCAGAGACTCCGGCCGGGGGGTCCGTTTGCATGCGCTGCAGACGATTAGCCACCGATTCAGATTCACTTGGGACAGGATGGATTCAACAGGAAATGATCAAGGAAGCGTAATCATCGACTGGAATCCGAGGAGAGCAGACGTACCTTGAAATCGCGCATCAAACGGCGTCGGGCAGAGGTCGACATGGCGGCGGGACCGAGGATGACCGATTTGAAACCTCAAGTGCCGGGCAGGAGAGCAAAACAGTCAAGAACGATAGATCCGACCAGAGGCTTAATTTGAGCACACTTGGTGTTGATGGAGTAGATATAGTTGCAGAAGGGTTGGATGCTGGAAGGAATCAAGGGAGTCAGAGAGTGACGGTGATGCGGTGGAGAGGCGCAGGCGCTTTCTCTGCCGTTCTGTAATCTGGACCGCCGGTCGTCGCCCGATAATAACGCGCCATGTCCCACGGACCAATCATGGCCCGACACACTGGAACATAGTCCACGTGACCGGAACACGTACTGGGCGGCGAAATTTGCTCAAAAGGGAAAGTGGCGCCTCAATTACATAATCGCTCTGATGAGTCAGATTAAGTTCTACAAATATTGCAAACAATGCAAACAATGCAATTTTCTCGCTGGGTCGGCTCGATAATGGAGGCGATGCATCTCGGTCGCATGTGACGGTCGATACAGCACACAATGCGATATTATCAAGACATGTAAGAGCAATATGCTTTCAGAATCGTTAACATGATCATACCCGTATAAACTCCTAATACTATATACATTGCAAGTCAAGAAAAATCAAGATCAGAGAGCTGTGTATGTGCTGTAGCCCGAGGGACCGACCGCGGAAAGCCGCGGTCCGTCGGCCAGTATCGGGCCAACTTATCAATCAACAATGCGGAGAACATTCCGTCCCTTCGGTCCGCGCCTTGAGATACAGTACATACTACATGTAGTTGTTTAAATTAACATTATCTTTATATTCTTCTCTGTTCACCTCTTTTCCCCTTCACTTTTTGCTCTTGTTTGCTTTTCTACAAGGATATCCCACCATGCACGCTCCTACCAGAGCGACCGCTCGCCTGGCCCTCCACGCCCGCCACCTCCCGTCGCAACGGGCTTTCAGCACCTCCCGTGCTGCGGCCAAGGAAATCCAGGAGGCATACATCCTCAGCGCAGCTCGTACTCCCACTGCAAAGGTATGTGTCCCATTTTTAAATCTCTTAGTAAAGGTGGTAGCTGTGAAAAGAGACTGACAGCTGCGCCATTCAGTTCAATGGCTCCTTTGCCTCCCTCTCGGCTCCCGAGTTGGGCGCCGTCGCCATCAAGGCCGCCATCAGCAAGTCGAATGTTCCTAAAGAAAAGATAACGGACGTTTACATGGGCAACGTTCTCCAGGCCAACATCGGCCAGTCGCCAGCTCGCCAAGCGGCTATCTTCGCGGGCCTGTCCCCTAACGTGGAGGCGGTGACGATCAACAAGGTGTGCGCGTCGGGATTGAAGGCCGTGGTATTGGCGGCCCAGAACATCCAGCTGGGACTGGCAGAAGCCCAGGTGGCCGGAGGAATGGAGAGCATGACCCGCGTGCCCTACTATCTTCCGCGCTCGAGCCAACTGCCACCGTTTGGAGACGTCAAGCTCGAGGACGGTCTGATCAAGGATGGATTGTTGGATGTGTACAACCAGTTTCACATGGGTATCTGTGCCGAGAAGACGGCTGCGAAGTACGGTATCACCCGGGAGGAACAGGATGAGTACGCCATCCAGTCATACCAGCGCGCCCAGCAAGCTTGGAAGGAGAACAAGTTTGCCGATGAGATCGCCCCTGTGACTGTGAAGAGCAAGAAGGGAGAGACGGTCATCTCGCGTGACGAGGGGTATGAGAGCCTGCAGATCGACAAGCTGAAGGCCTTGAAGCCAGCCTTCCTGAAGGATGGCACGGGGACCGTCACAGCCGGAAACGCGTCGACCCTGAATGATGGTGCATCCGCCTTGGTCCTGGGTAGCAGGGACATTGCTCGTCAGTACGGCACGGGCAACAGAGCACTCGCACGGATTGTCGCACATGCAGATGCAGCCCTTGACCCGGTTGATTTCCCTGTGGCGCCAGCCAAGGCTGTGCCGATTGCGTTGGAAAGGGCGGGCATCACAAAGGATCAGGTAGCCGTTTGGGAGTTCAACGAGGCTTTTGCAGCGGTCATCAAGGCCAACGAAAAGGTAACGCCTTACATTCACCTCAAATAAAAAAACAAAAGTGAAACCTTAGGATACGAGAGCTAACACAATGTAGATCCTCGGACTGCAAAACGCCCGCGTCAACCCGCTTGGTGGCGCCATCTCTCTGGGTCACCCTCTCGGCAGCTCCGGATCACGCATTCTGACGACACTGCTTCACCAACTTCAGCCGGGCGAGTACGGTGTCGCAGCCATCTGCAACGGAGGCGGCGCGGCGACAGCCTTGGTTGTGCAGAAACTGGACAGGGTCGAGTAAATTCGGTTGACCCACTGATTAATTGATTAAACGATAAATGCATGAATGAGGAAAAATGAGAATCGAATACCCCCTGGATGCTAGAAATGAGCAGCTCGATATTTTTTCTTTGGATGAAAATGTATGAACTGTGTCTCTGTATATGTATATACATTACATGTACGTCAGATCAGTAGGGAGTCCACAAGGCGATTGATTTATCGCAATTCTCATTGACACAGGAAAAAAAAAGATACAACAAAAAAAAATAATAAATAGGACGGGTATCAATTCGCATCCCGTAGCTGATCCCTGATTTTCATCCGCAACTGATCTTTCATTCCAAGATGTACAGAAAACAAAAAAAAAAGAGGCAAAAGATCCAATATTCACATTTGAATTGATTGGACACACAACATGCCCCTTTCTTCTGATATCCATGCCTCCTCTTCTAAGAACTCTTGGTCCCGGATCCGCACCAACAGCGACCTTCGCCTTCTCGCTCCACTTGAACAACAATATCCATGTTCTTCTCGCGAAGGAAGTCGACCGTTCGCCGTCGGACGTCTTCTAGATCCGCACCTCGAGACGCAATGACGTGAATCACGCCAAGAACGCGCTGACTGTTTGATTTGTGGTCGTGGTCATGATCATGATGATCATGGAGGTGATGATGGTGATCATGATGATCGAGATGTCGATGTTGGCAAAGGTCGTGGCTGTTGGAGTGACCGTGGGAAGGCCCGTGGTCATGGCCATGATCATGTCCTGTTGAGGTTCCGACTGCAGTGTCGTCTAGCCAAAATTTCGGAACCGTATATCCAACAACACCCCTCAGGGTACTGACCCCTGCCAGGGTGTCGCGGAGGTTGTATTCCACGTCGGCCGGCAGAGTTAGAAGCAAGGTTTTCGCGGTGCTGCTGACCAGAGGAACAGCCGACGCAAAGATCAGAATAGCAATGACACACGACGCGATAGGATCAAAGCCAGCCCAACCATAGTAATGAACGAGGATTGTCGAGATCACGACAGCAACCGAGCCCAGAGTGTCCGCGAGAATGTGCAAGAAAATCCCGTGCATGTTTTCATTACCATGAGAGTGACCATGGCCATGACCATGATCGTGGCCGTGCCCATGTCCGCCATGCGAATGGCCATGGTGCCCGTGATCAAACGCCACGATGCCCACAAGATTGACAGCGAGACCTGCAATGCTGACGACCAAGAGTTCCTGGATGCGATGCATCTCGCTACCAGAGAGCAGTCTCTCAACGGCTTCATAGACAATCTCCACGCTGATAATCATGAGGAAGACGCCGTTGGCGAAGCCCGAAAGCGTGTCCACCTTGCCATACCCGTAGGGAAATCTGGTACTAGGGGGCCACTTGCTCATTACAGCGGCACAGAGCCCAACAACAAGGGCGAGGCAGTCAAAAAACATGTGAATACTATCGCTGAGAAGGCCAAGAGATCCTGTAATATAGCCGTAGCAAAGCTGCACGAGCATAAATGCAAAATTGAGACTAACACCAATCAGCACCGGCAGACCAACACAGCGGCTCGACATACCTCATGAAGTAGAAGATTCTACGGGAATCATCTTCTTTCAAAATGCTGTGGATTAGTGGGTAAGACTCTCCGTGTCGGAGCAAAAACTTGGTCACGGCCGAGAGCTCGGCCTCTGAGTGACCGTGGGACGCATGGCCACGTTTGGCATCATCGAAAGTTGCCGCAAAATACGAAAGCACAGCTACAGCGATCCAGGTCAGGCAAAGCACGCGACTGCTCTCGAAGTGCGGTAGGGCGCTGAAGGCAATGACCAAGACGGATGCGGCGACATGACCCAACTTCTGGCGAGTGTGCAGGCTTGACGGAGATGACAACATCAGCGATACCGTAAAACAGGCCGCCGTGATCAAAGTCGAGATAAAGTCAGTGGCTTCAAATGCGTAGAGCGCACCACTGAAAGGGGAGAGCAGCACGGTCAGGGCGGCCAGCAATGCCCCCGAAACCAACGTCAGCTGGATATCCTCGACGGATGCAACTAGAGGGCAGGTTGACACGGCAGAGGTCTGCTGGTTAACGAGAAAGGCTGCGCCATTAGCGACTTTGGCAAGTGAGTCGATCTTCGGTTGGGAGGCAACTGGAACAGCGTCTCGAGCACTAGAAAAAGGAGGCCGGAGAAGGAAAATTGAGGCAAACAAAGCTATGTACCCTCTAAGCGGCTTGGTATCTACCGGTGTGTCATATCCCAGGACATTCAGTACTATGAACGTCGACAGCACAAGCAGTGAGGCCTTTTTATGCCCGAGGCGTTCCCGCGCAGCTCCCATTTTCCCGCTGCGGTCAAATATCGTTGGCAAGCCGACGGCAAAGGTCAAAGTAAACGCAAGAGCCACCATTGGAGCCCCGATGATCATCGCGGCATAGATTGGCAGTCCCAGTGAGACAATTCTTGTCAGAGCTGTTTGTCCAGCCGCCCAACTAAGGTCCAGACTGGACATATCCGGTAGAGCCTGGCCTGCTCGTCTGCGTCGCAGCAAGGACCAAGAACCTATTAACAGCATCGTAGCCGAGACCATGACCATCGTTCTCCACCAGACTGCATCCACCTTAGTTTCGGTTGAATACGTTCGGAACCAAGAGGCTCTTGCCGCTGCGGCCTTGAGCATCCGATATAGCTTGTGCGAGGTGGGCTCTGTGTACAGCCTCGTGTACCACGACAGGGCCACCCATGGCAATACTGTGAGCGTCCCAGTTACAATTTCATAACTATATATCGGTCAGAGAACAGAATACTCAAACGCGACGACCGGTCTACCTACCTCAACGGCACATCGCTCCCAGACGTTTGAAACGGAGTCACAAAACTGGTCGAGGGTCCTGAGCTTCCCAGAAAACCATCTGCAGCCTCATCCGCCTTCGTAGTGGTCGCAGAAGCGTCACCTGGCAGATGACCATCGGATAAAGACGTGTGAGAGTGACTATGGCTGTGGGAAGGGGTACGGTGGTGATGGGCAGCGCTCGCAGCGGTGGGCAACGTCCAGCCCGGCACCTGGCCATTGGTCTGCTCGGAGGGATGATCAGGCTGTGACGGTTCCTGCTGCGACTCTTGTTCACCCGGCGCTGACGTCGCGACGACACTGGGGATCTGGGGAATCTGAGTCCAGCCGCCAGAACGGTTGTGGCCGCGGCGATGGCCACGGCCTTGCGAGGTGACACTCGACATGGTGGACGCAGTCGACATGAGGGCGGGATACCCTGTTGACTTGTCAACAGGACCAGAGAATTGCTCGATCTGATAACGACATCGGTGGGTTTGACTTTGCGGAGGTCAGGGTCTAGAGGCGGCGCGGGGACAAAGTGCTCGGAGGCTCAACACGGAGTGTCGATCACAGCTAGATAGGACGGTAGGAGCCTCGGGCCTAGAACTCGCAACAGGACGGAGCGCGCCGCGCACTGTCAATTGACTGAGAAACGAGCCGGAGTGTCTCGGCGTCAGTACCCCCTTCCTGACACACAGCCAGGCACTCCGGAATCCGCACTCTGCTCGACGGTGGGTGAGAGCCCGCAAAAGAAGTTTCCGTAACTGGGAAGCCTGCCCGAGTCTTCTGTAGCCACAAAAAGGGGCGTCGCGCACGGCCAGTCGATAAGGCCCGCGCGGATCGGAGGATTACCCCTTCCGAGATTGCCAGCGAGAGCTAGCGATAATTGCATCTCCCTTGCAGAGATCGACCTGCGCTGCTCGAGCTATCAAGAATTCTATTCCAGACCATATTGCGTTTGTGCAGGACTGTTGTTCCAGGTGCCAATGACCTGGAAACGATTACCTGACTGTACAATGCGGACCGGACTGTAACGAGATGATCGAGACTTACATCAGCATTGCATTCTGGCTGTCCAGCCTGTTGACAGTCATCATCTTACTTCTCCCGTCGCAGTATGGCTCTCAAGCGGCCCAGAAAGACAGTACGAGTGCGCGCGACAAATCCAAGGTCTCTGTGCAGATCCTTGTTCTGGGAGACATTGGTCGCAGCCCGCGAATGCAGTACCATGCTCTGAGCATTGCGCGACGAGGCGGCTATGTAGATCTTATCGGGTATCATGGTCAGCCAAGGATCCCATTTCTTTTCTCTGTCCTCTGAATAGTGGTTATTAATCTACATTGTAGAGTCCGATCCACACCCAGATATCATATCCAACGAGAGAATATCCATCGTCCCTCTCCCTCCGCACCCTGCCTTCCTACAAACAAGCAACAAACTTCTTTTCCTCCTCTTTGGACCCTTGAAGGTCCTGTTCCAGATCGCCTCCTTATGGAGCTGTCTCGCATATCGCACAAAGCCAGCCAAATGGCTGCTGGTCCAGGTCAGTTCGCCTGCATCTTGTTTGCTCGAGTCCGTTTCGGGAGAAAGGCGGCCCTGCGATGCCCCTATTCCTTCTAATACAACCATGATACCGGCGCTTTTGCTGAGATCTTTTGCTCCCAGAACCCTCCTTCCATTCCGACCCTCGCGATCGCCTCTCTTGTCTGCTTTCTCAGACGCACCAATCTAGTCATCGACTGGCACAATTTCGGGTACTCAATCCTCGCATTGAAACTGGGCGAAAACCACCCTCTAGTGAAGATATCAAAGTGGTATGAAAAGACTTTTTGCTCCACTGCAACGGCACACCTTTGTGTGACCAGGGCAATGGCCTGTGTCTTAAAGTCCCAATTCCCAATCAAGGCCTCTATTTTGCCTCTTCATGATAGGCCTGCCAACCATTTGAAGCCCATTTTGGATGACGAGGAACGGTTAAAGTTCCTTGTCTCCTTGCCGGAGTCAGCCACGGTCAGGTCCTTATTGGAGGCCGGAGATGTTCGCGTTCTCGTCAGCTCAACGTCCTGGACGGCTGATGAGGATTTTTCTGTCTTCATTGATGCTCTCTGTCGATATTCAGAGATTGCTTCCACCAGCAAACCGTCTCTCCCAAAGATTTTGGCCATTATTACTGGCAAAGGGCCCCAAAAAGAAATGTATCTGAAGGAAATCTCTGACCGAGAGAAGGCCGGTAAACTCCAAAAGGTGACCATTAGGACAGCTTGGCTTAGCACCCATGACTATGCCAGGCTTCTCGGTTCCGCGTCGCTGGGCGTGAGCCTGCACACCAGCAGCAGCGGCGTGGATCTGCCAATGAAGGTTGTGGACATGTTCGGGGCCGGTCTCCCAGTGGTCGGATGGAATCGTTTCGAGGCGTGGCCCGAACTTGTCACTGAAGGTGTGAACGGACGAGGATTCGGGAGCTCGCAGGAGCTGGCCGACCATTTAGTTGACCTGTTTGGCAACCCGGCCGAACTCGAGAAGCTTCGTGCTGGTGCTCAAAAGGAGAGCTCTCATCGCTGGGATCAAGAATGGGATCCAGTCGCGGGTAAGCTCTTGGGACTTGTAGAAGCCTGACCCTTGAGAGGAAGAAAATGATAGACTTCTATGTTCACGAATCGCGAAATTTGCCGCCACAGTAAGGACAAGTATCAAAGAATTCGATCACCCTTTCGTATAGGGACAGTGAACCTTTCTCCGACTTCTCTTGCTCTTTCCCGCCGGTATCATCTTTGCCTGCGCCGTTCGCAGCATCGGCCGTAGCCTCTTCCTCTTCCCTGTCGTCGGAGATATCCAAGAACTCCGTTCCGCACAGAGAGCAGAATTTCGAGACGCCAGGCTCCTGAATAGCCAGGAAGGTCATCGCACATCGTACTATTAAGTGCCACCACGAATTAGCTTCCCTCCAGCCAGGCAAAAACTTTGTAGTAGTAAGATATATAGATGATGGTTCGGACCAACAACTTACCGAAAAGATGCCCCGCTGTGCATTGCGCCTCTGGCACAGAGTACCATTCGATTCCGGAACCGCATATCTCGCATTTCTCGAAAATTCTGCCTCCGGGACCGTTAAGCAGCACATCGGCAGACTTGGATGCAATGGTTGGAGCGGAGTCGACAAACGCGGTAGGGGAGCACTTCGATATCTCGTCGCTCAGATCGGTGCCACCACATGAGGTTGATAGTCGTTCGAGAGCTTGCCGCGCGAGGGAGAGCAATTCTTCGTTTCGATGCTCGACGATCGAGCATGCTGCTGCTGCGTAGACGAGTTTTGCAGATCGCAGATCGATACTAATATTCCGTAATCCTTTCTCTTCCGAAGCGGCATGGCTGAGGATAAACCGCAAGATTCCTTCCCGCTGTTTCCGGAAGTGCTCTTCCGTCAAGTTTGGCATCTCCGGTAGTGGGCCGTCCGTTGCGCTGATGTCTGGTGCTGCCGCAGAGAAGACGAGCGTGGTCCGCTCCTCTGCGGCCGTCGTATACTCGACCATATCACCCGGGTGCATGGTGAAGGCCGCCACGATCCAACCGCGATACGTAGCCAGTCCCCAGGTCCGAGCAACTGCTAGACCGCCCAAGTCACGGTCGATATCGAACCGCTCGCGGAAATCCTCGACTTGCTTCTTCCATTCAGGATGAAGGATCTGTCCTTCTTGGAGCGTTGAGCAGGGAGACGCCTCTGCCCAGGCTCCGACTGTGCTCAAGTGCAGAGTATCTGGTTTGCCGTTCTTGTCGTTTACGACAGTGATTGCTGTATCTGTTTGTTAGTAAAAAAAAAAGGCGGAATGAGTGCAAGGGTAAACTCACAACTTATCGGCTCCCAGTATCGAGAATGATCTTTTTGACTGACACTGTCTGCGCCATCGCCTCTGTCGTCTGAGAACAGCCGCTGAGAGAATGCGACGCCCTTGTTTTGTGTGTCTTTGCCTGTGTACACCTCTTCTGACAGAGTCAGTATGGCTCGTCCAACGAAAATACCGGCGGCCAAGACGATCGAAGAAGATTGTTCCTGAAACAAGTTAATTTAGTCCAGCAATTAATGGATTGAAAGAGAGAGGTCATCACATACGTCGAACACCCACTGAAGTGGTCCCGTGAAATTGACATCTTCGAGCTTGCAACCGGGTACAGAGAACTCGGCCCTGTCAGCAATGCGCACTTCAACACGATCACCTGACACGGAACGCGCATCCAAGTCTATGAGCTTGAGTTTAGAGCCATAGATCGCTCCGACAATTGCTCTCGATGATAATGCATCCTTGTCTCCATAGGATGACTGGCGGATCCATGGCCCACACGAAATGTGACACACTCGAGCTCTAGACTTCATTTCCTTGGCAAACAACGATCCGCCTGCGATCATGGGAAATTTCCCAACAGGGTCATGAATTGAGATATGTGAGAGGGCCTCGATGGTGTAGGGGCTTCCAGAAGCTGATTTCCCCTGCCGACGCTTGATCTCAAGGATGATAAAATCATTATCATCGTTGGTAACTGCAAGCAAGTACCGACCCCAGCGCTGTTCTAGCGATAAAATGGCATCGTCGGATGCGCCGGCTCCCTCCGTCAACGCAGGGTCTTTGAGCGGCGGGCACCACGCAAACGAGCGGATTCGCTTCTTGCGAAGCTTGAGTCCCGGGTCAGCGATGGACTGCGACGAGAAGTACTGCGCAAGGGCATTGGACGCAATCGCGACTCGAGTCCATTTCCCCTGCGGCCCGACAGGTTCGTAGAAAGACAGGACCAAATTGGAGGTCAGGACACCCAGGAGACAGCGTCGGTGCTTAGCCAATCCTGGCGGCGACCACGAGAGAGCCGCGACCGTACTGATGGACTGTTCGGCTCCAACCGAGAAGTGATCGCGAGTCTGTGGCCAGGTCATTTCCCACTCCTTGTTGGTGAACATATTCACGCGGACGCGCGTGAACAGCCACGGGCTCGGCTTCCCCGTAGACTGCGCAGTGCCTGCACTACGACTTGTAATATTAGGGGTCTGTTGGCAGAAGTCAGCGGCGTTCTTTTCTACTTTATCATCATCAAGGTGTCTGTTGTTATTAGGATGTACTTACTAGGAAGTGGACATTCTCTCCCGCCGCGACAGCCAGCTCGCCGTCCGCGGACCACGCCAGGCAGGAATAGCAAGATGGAAACAATTGAAGCTCGACCGGTTCAGCCATTGTGAATTTACGTGAGAAAAGTCCACATCCTGAAAGTGCACAAATATCCGACAGACTGGTCCAGAGTTGTTGTGTTTGTCGAGGCGGCAGAAAACACTCTGAAAGTATACTCTGGAGTATACAGCAAAAAAGGCTTGGCGTCGTTTTCTATCCGCATCTGGTCATTCACTGGTTGCAAAGGGCCTATTGATGCTAGTCAACAATAGTGCAGAATGAATTCTAATCCAATAGCCACTATTCGTAGATTTCCCTTTTCCTTTAGGAATTAGTATAATTTTTTCTGATTCGCTCGATTTACAATAGTTTCAAGACCCTACTGTCAGATAATATAGGATCCAAATGGACCTCGATATCACTAACTACCCCTTTTGGCCGGATTCTTGCCTAGCCTTGCTTACAATATTACCATTATTCACTTACAGCATACCAGCCGGTCTACCTACAGGTGACCATAAAGAAAGATGCCGGAGCTTAGATCTGAGTTACGTATGACAGTGCTGGGGTCGAGTGCAGCAAGACCGCCAGACCATATCTCCCCAACGCTACGGAAATGAAAGCATGGAATTGGGATTGGAAATAACTAAAACTTAAGAATGTATGTCTAGCCAGAAAGCCTTCAGATGTTAAATAATTCGGGATTGAAAATGTCAAGAGATTCAACGAAAAAGCACCAGTTGTTAGATGCAAGATATGAAACAGGCCCTAAGATAACTGAAGTCCTAGCTGCAGTGCGAAAAGCCAAGCAGTAACGCCATTCCAGCTCAAGAACGAGACAGGTGAAGTAGCGGGGAAAAAAAAGAAAGCAAGCAAGCAAACACATCAGTAGGCATCAGTCATGAAATAAAGAGGGCAACGCAGACGCCTCCATAGACCAGAAAGATGCAAAATCAAATACCGAACACTCCGTCCTCGATGGGAATGCACCCAATGCGACCTTTCCCCGTCACAGCTCCGAGATTGCCCAGCTGCTGTCATGGCACATCCCAAACATGCTCGGGTGAGTCAAACCATGGCGAGACATCGATGAATTTCTACTACCAACGCCGTATCTCTTTCTGCCAGAAAGCCGCATTAATCCTCTCCCAGACTCTCTCGGACACACTTCCTCACGCGTCTCTTGAATTCCTTAGGGTCCTCTCGCCACAGACGGGCAGCTTCGACATTCGCAGGACTCTCATCGTTGGGGCTGGAAAGCATGGAGATGACGGAAATAAGGATAGTCTCTGGCGTCTGCACTGGCGACCAACGCTCCGCAGCCGACTCATAGCCGTACTTGTCTTCTTCCGGGGGGTGAAGAATCGAGATGCAGACTTCGCCGTTAGGATAGACTGTATGTGCAGAACGCAGGTTAGTTTCCCAAAGTACAATCGACGGGAGAAAACCGGGATATGGGGGTAGTTCACGTACTGTTGGGGTGAAAGATGGGCGTCTCAAATTTCATCTTGGGAGGCATGTGAGGGTACTCCGGTGGGAAGGAGAGGCGGGCACGGAAAAAACCACCTATACGAGTAAATCAACGGCCCGTTAGCATATGCATCCTGTGAGAGAGTGATAGTCGCCGACGGGGTGTAATGCATACCGCCATAGTACTTGCACTCATCCGAGATCATGAGCATGACCTCCCACTCGAAGATGTTGTTGTCCACCAGGCCACAGCTGATCCCCGGAATATCCTTAGCCGACTGCATCTGCTGCAGTTGGCGGGTCAGCATACGCCCGGCCGGCGTTGACGCCATTTTGATCAAGAGCTCGCAGGAGGGGTTGTGATGTGGCGGAGAGACTGAGATTCAAGAGTGTGAAGAGTGAGCGTTCTTCAGGCCTCCGTGATCTTACAGATCGACGGCTACGAGCGGATAGGCTCTGGATAAATGAGATGGTAGAAGGAACAAGAGAGCGCGCCGGAGGTAGCAAAGGCAGGTCGGTGGTGACTGCTAGCGGTGGTGGTGATAGTAGTGACTGCCGCGGGGTCTCTTCCGAGCGTTGAGACCGGAAGCGTCTCGTTCGCTTTTTGCCCACCGCCACCGCCCCGTGAGGTGATCAGCCGCCACCGCCAGTCCAGGCGATCATCATCATCCACGATGGCATTTTGAGATCGGCCCGCCCGAGCGGAAATGCGGGATGACGTTTGTGCCCGCGATTTTTTCCATATATACAGAGCTTAGGCATGCGAAAACATTATTACGAAATCAAATCTGCTGAACCGTATGTCATATATACCGATATATACTATCTACCTGTCAAGTTACTACAAAGACCGACAGGAACAGAATGGGAACCTCTTGATAAACAGAAAGCCGAAAATTCCAGCGTATCATCTCCATGAGCGGAACCTTCACCCACCTTCTGCCGGTCTTCGACCAGAGAAGAATCGCCAAAGTTCAGGTCCCAGACGGCATGCTTAAGCACTAAGTGGGTACCAGTTTACATGGAGGCAAAAGTCTTGTTGACGGCATCTCCCAGGAGGAAGTACGCCTCGAGGCCCAGGATGAAGCTAAACACTAGAGCCACGGCAGCCACCATCAAGAAGACTTTGCCCACCACCTTCACAAAACGCACCCGGGAAGCCCAGTCGAAAGACCGCCAGGCATCGACGATTCCGATCTTGCCCGCACCACCCACAATCTCCGGGGTGACTTTACCGCCAAATGTACGGTCAAAGGGTACGATCGTCTCGTCATCTTCAGGCAGCATCGAAGCCGCGACACGGATGAAGGTCACATGCGCTGGCATGTCAACCAGCAGGTATAGGACCAGGTTGAGGGCAGCAACACCCAGGGTTCCTGCGACGACATTTGTTGGAGGAAGCTCGTCCGAGGGCACTGCCGGGTTCACCGCGCCGCCATTCTTGAGGACTTTCGTGGAGTAGCCAACGATCAAGGGGATGAACATGGTGAACTGAGAAGCGAGGGAGCGGAGGGCGGCCACCGGGGCAATCTTGATCCAGGTTTTACGACCAGGGATACGCTGGAAGAAGCGTTTGGTGGACGGCTCAGAGATGACAATATGAACCCATGCCATCGTCAAGTTGGCGAGGACGATCTCCGCCACAAACCTTGCGATGACATGACTGACAAAGAAGCCACCTAGAATTGCAGACAGTGGAGATGTAATGAGTCTGGTGGCCACCCTGGTCAGCAGGTACATGCGTAGGCCACGTAGCTGAGACCAACGGCCGGCGCGGGCACGCAAATGGGCGATGGTAGTCCGCAACGAGCTGGTAATGGGCTTGGATTGCGGAGCTGGAACCTCGGGGTCATTCTCATCATCATCGTCAGACTTAGGAGCATTGACATCCGCATCGATACGGACGTAGACGTCGGGGTTAGGATCCTCGATAGCAGCGAGCGTCGCCACGACCTTTCCAAAAGTGTAATCGATCTAGAAATCCCAGGTATGAAGTTAGGACAGTGAAAAGGATCAAGCACAGCACGAGAACACATACGTAAGAGCAGATAAGGAACATCAGAAGAGCCGTCAAAATGACGACAGTGAAACCCAAGGCTGGAAAGGGGCGATCAGGCTGGTCGGGGTCGGAGGGCTTCTCCTCCAGACCCCGCCGAACGAGATGGTAAGTGACAGAGCTCAGGGTCGACATGATGATCCTGGCTCCCTCATCCAATGCAAGATAACGGAAATATGAAAAATTTAGGGAAAGAGAGGATATGGATAGAGATCAGGGCGGGGTTGTTGCAAGTTAAAGAGGCTCTTGCGGCTAGGCAGCTCCGTATGTCTGCGGCTGAGTCGTACACGGATGCCCCGGATGGGTTGGTAAGCAGAGAGGCGCCTGGTCCGGTCCCAGTGCAACCATCTCAATTTCTCAAGCCAAGGCTTATTTATTATCTGCTTATTGCAACTCCAAATATTTTCTTCAGCAGATATCTAGGTAAGTCTCGCACCGTTGTACAGCAAATGCAATGATGGCAGCATTGGTGCTGAACAATTACCTCCAGTACTCCGTAGATGCTAGTAACGGCCGGAGGCTATTTTTATCCATTGCGTAGCCCCTTTCTGCCTCGCCGTCGCCGACCTTCCGACTAATAGTAACTCTAGCCTTATCTTTGCCATCACGAACCGGTTTATCTCTCTGCTCCTGCCTTGGCATTGCGTTTTCGGTTGTACTGAATCCACGCAAGAAAGGGAAACAGCAAACTGGAATTAAATAAAATTGATTCCTAGGCAATTCGACAATGGGATCGGATCCGGATACGTAGACATTCGACTGGCGTCGAGAGAAAGTGTCTCTAAGGCGAGGAAGTTTTGATTTTTATTTTTTGAAAAAGGCATTTCGTGGAACGCGGAGAAACGCCTGGAGTTCCCCGCACCCGTGATAAATCGTCGACGCGGATTGCACGAGCACTCCGGACGGAGTCTCTGATCCCACTCCCGGATTTATGGAACCCCTTCCAAGAAATCACAAGCGTCAGATCAGATGCAGCGTCGTATCCAGTCATCGACAGCACTCGCACTAATGAGCTGATGTGTTCGCTCATCTTCCTTTCGACCTGTGCTGGTCCCGTCGGACCGAGTGGACGGGCGGCCTCCCCGGCCAACGTTCTCCTTGCGCCGAGCCGAGGTCCATTGCCCTGGTTGGCTGCCCGTGAGCTCGCGGTCAGCATTCGGGCAAGGATACGGACGCGACAGTCCCACGCCCGTCTTCAATTAAATAATTCTACGTCCGCTTGCTGAAAATTCTCCCTCTCATAGACTGATATCCATTATAGAGCTTCGAGACGTTCCTAGACCTTCTCCTCCCTCCGTCCTCCGTCTCGCTGACGCTCACCGTGGGAAACTCCTTCCCCTCCTCCCCCACCATGTCGTCCAGTTCCACTGTCACGGCCAACCCACAAGAGGTCAAAGATGAAGTTGCTGTTACGGAGACCGCTCCCGTGTCGCAGACCCTTGCCCAAGTGCGCTCGTTCATAGCAGGCGGTGTCGGCGGCGTCTGTGCAGTGATTGTCGGCCATCCGTTCGATCTGGTCAAGGTCCGCATGCAGACGGCAGAGAAGGGTGTCTACACGGGTGCAATTGATGTTGTTAAGAAGACTGTGGCTCGTGAAGGACTGGCCAAGGTATGGGGTTCCTGCCTGGAAAATGGACGCCATGTATGGCGCTGACTGAGGACAGGGGCTTTATGCAGGAGTGTCAGCGCCCTTGGCTGGGGTGACTCCAATGTGTAAGTTGACAGTCTCTGCTGCTGTAAAACAATAACTAACAAATTCTTATTTTCAGTTGCTGTGAGCTTCTGGGTATGTCCATGCGACCGTCTTTCTACGCTCCTGCTTCGCACCCTCGCTGTTCTAACCTCTCCTAGGGTTACGACTTGGGCAAGACCCTTGTCAGCACTCTGTCGACGGTCCCAGTCAAGAATGATGTCCCCCAATACTCCATCGCCCAGATCTCCGCCGCCGGCGCCTTTTCTGCAGTCCCAATGACGTTGATCACGGCCCCATTCGAGCGAGTGAAAGTGCTGCTGCAGATTCAGGGCCAGAATCCTCCCCCGCCCGGTCAGAAGCCCAAGTACTCTGGTGGTCTGGACGTCGTGCGGCAGTTGTATAAGGAAGGTGGAATTCGCAGTGTGTTCCGTGGCAGTGCCATGACACTGGCTCGAGACAGCCCGGGCTCTGCGGCGTACTTTGCCGCATATGAGTACATCAAGCGCAGCCTGACGCCCAAGGACGCCGACGGGAACGTCACTGGCGACCTGTCGCTGACAGCGGTTCTGACCGCAGGCGGTGCGGCCGGCGTTGCCATGTGGATTCCCGTGTTCCCAGTCGATACGGTGAAGTCGCGGATGCAGAGTGCGGATGGACGACCGACAATTGGCGGAACGATTCGCTCTATATACAGCAACGGAGGGTTCAAGGCGTTTTTCCCTGGATTCGGACCTGCTCTGGCAAGAGCGGTGCCTGCGAACGCGGCCACTTTGTATGTCCTGTCCTTTTCCCTGCTGTTGATGGTATGCGTCCCAGCTAACACCGCTATCCAGCCTGGGAGTCGAATTAGCCCATAAAGCGATGAACAAAATTTTCGGCTCTTGATGATGCAACATCATGATATGGATATGAAGAGTCTGGTATTACTCTGTCGGTTTATAGAGTACATGCACTAGACGGGGGTTTGTTTTTATCGTTGATATTCCCAATGCTGTTCTGTTACATGGATTCGTGATACCAGTATATCCGCACTGTGGAGTTAAGCGATCTGTTTATTTGCCTGGTTCCGGACTCGTCTGAGCGGAATGTCTAAGGATATTGTGAATATTATTCCCGATATCTCATTTCTAGGCGGGATTTATCCTATATTCCTCGCCATACACTTGCACGTATGTAACTGCTTTTATATATTTCGTACGGCAGAACCGCTTTGGGGGAATCGAGCAGCTGTCTATGACGGAAGGACTGCACAAAATAATCATGTGTGCCTTTTTTTTCGCCTTTGTCCTTTTGTCCCAAGCTAGGCTGAAAGGAAGAGTAATGTTGCTCCCCACTTGCATGTGATTTTGCATGTGAATGTCACTCCTTCGGCCAGGGGACCGCTCGTTATCTTCGGAATACAAAATCAGGAAATCAAGAGCGATGGAGGAACGAAAAAGAAAAAGAAAGAAAGAAAGAAAGGGAAATTATCCATTTATTGATTAGGCAGACTTGTTCTACTGTAAGTATGACCCGACAGTACATGTACTTGCCTACCTTGGAAGTAGGCTATCGGCGGGGAGCCTATCCCAGACTCTTAGCGATTGGACCTCGACACGATCTCTCTTTCGACCTTGTCAATCCGTTAACCGCTGGCCAGAGAATCCCGCAGATCCCAACGTTCATTCACAATCCTTATTGATCCGGGTTGTCCTCCGGATTCTTGTTTCTCAAATCTCCACCAACCTGTGCCGGATATCTCTCCGAGTCCCTGACGGACGTGTTTCTACTAGCGGATTCGTCTTCACTGCTAGTCCTAGCTGCCGTACCCCAGCTCACTAAGATGGAAGCAATGCTCGCGCTGGATTGCAGAACGACCACGATGGGACGGATTCGATGGTACTTGAAGTCGATCAGTGTGAATTTCTTGATGCTCAAATATCGAAGGATACCATACCTGCTGACGAATGACCACAATATATGCGAGCAACTAACTAGCCAATTTAGCTAGCTAAGGTAAGCATAAATGAGACTAGTTTAGTTAATGCTTAAATGCTTAAATGTTGACATGGATTTCGATAGCAGGTGACGGCAACGGCCCATCCGAACCGATACGATCATACGCGAGCTCCAAGCGAGCAGACGAAACAATATCCACCGGCAGACCAGCAACATACTCCGTACGGGCCTGGCAAACAAACAAGCGTGGTCGGGATTTCCTTAGCCATGTAAGTATGCGCTTGTTCAACCCCCCACGGGGTTCTCTTTCCCGACCCCAGGAATCTGGGGTAGGTGAAACGACATGTCTATTTCTTGTTCCCCACGATGGAAAGCTACATATCTCTATAAACCGGCCTAGAGCTTCCTGGAGAAGAGACGGTGAACGCAGTACGTCTCGGATTCTCTCTTCCTTTCTTTTTTCCCTCCTGCTTCCTCACTCAGGACATTACTTGTTTCGAAAGTGATTGCCCCTCATATCGAGAAATTCGAGAGGATGGGTCTTCAAGGCACGGCACTGTGTCTGTTCGTGACCGTAGCGTGCGGCCTGCAGTATCTGCTGTACGGATACGATCAAGGTAAGAAACAGAGAAGAAGAATACATGCAATTGCAAATGCAGAACCAAGACAAAAATGAAGCTAACGACTTCTCTGTCCAGGTTTCATGTCCGGCGTGCTCATCGCGGACGACTTCCTTGCCACCATGGACCAGCCATCAACTTTCATGCAGGGCTTGATGGCCAGCATCTACGACATGGGATGCTTCTTCGGCTGTGCAGTCAGCATGGTCTTCAGTCAGAAGCTCGGGCGAAGATACCCCATCGTTGTCGGGACTATCGTCGTCGTTGCGGGGGCCGTCATCCAGACCGCGTCGTATGGGAGGCCACAGTTTATCGTGGGCCGGATAGTGTCCGGTCTGGGGACGGGGCTGAATACCTCGATTATTCCAATCTGGTAATTTGGAATTTCTTTTTGGCCGGGACACACCTGACTGACTCCGTGTTCAGGCAGGCTGAAACCCTCCCAGCGAGAAAACGTGAGAGATTCGGCACCCTTCAATATCTACTCGTCTGCACTGGGGCCTCTGTATCGTACTGGATGAACTATGCGCTGTCGTATGCCGGTGGGCAATTCGAGTGGCGGTTCGCAATCGCAGCCCAACTGGTCTTTGCTGTCATGTTACTCGCCATTATCCCCTTCATGCCGGAATCCCCCCGGTGGCTCATCATGCAGGACCGTAACGAGGAAGCTATCCACATCGTGAAGCGCATGCACGGCGTGACCAACGACGACGATGAGGAGGTCCAGACAGAGCTGAAGCTGATCCACCAGGCCCTCGAACTGGAGATGATGGCTGGCGCCAGCGGTTTCTGGGATCTGTTCAAGATGGGAGACACGCAGAACCTACGCCGGATCATACTCGGCTGGTGGATGATGGCCATGGTTATGTGGTCGGGCGTTTGTTCGATTGGATACTACATCTCGTATCTGTTCGAGACCAGTGTCGGGCTGAGCCACAATCTCTCCTTGCTGCTGTCGGGATTCAACGGGTTGTGTAAATGAAGTCACCTTGATTAAACCTGCAATCTTTCTCTTTGTCGCGAATCCTGACAGTCTCTTCGCAGGGTACCTGGCTTCTGCCATCATTCCCTTCTTCATCGTACACAGAATAGGCAAGAGGTGGAGCATGATGATCGGCGCATTCGGCATGGGATGCTGCTTCCTGACGATGTCTCTGACAATTCGGGATGGCGGCTTTGGCGCTTCGATTGTCTGTGTCGTTGCATTCTTCCTGGTAAGCTGTGTAATATAAAAGCTAACTGACGACCTGTACTGACAACTCATTCCAGTACTATACGTTCTTCGCAATTGGATGGCTGGCCGTCCCCTGGCTATATGTAAACTGACCTTTCCCTTTCCTTCCTCTGTATCTCTGCTGGTGCTAATTTCTTTTTTTTTTACTCAGTGCGCCGAGATCCTCCCTCTTCACCTCCGCAGCATCGGCAACTCCATCACCACCTCATCTAACTGGATCCATAACTTCATCACCGTCATGGTCACTCCGTCAATCATGAGCAATCTGGGCTGGAGGGGCTATCTGCTCTTCACCGTGTGCAACTTTGCCTTCGTGCTGATTGTCTTCGTCTTCTACCCGGAGACGACGGGCAGACGACTGGAGGAGATCGACGCCATCTTCTTCCGCACCAGCCCCTTCGTCTGCGGCACCAAGTGGGCGAGAAAGGGCCACTTTGAGACCGACGAACTCGACCATGT